GATATATATAATACATTATTTGATTCTATCTAAAATATCAACTATTAGAAGAATCATTATTCGTTTTAATCTTAATAATTATATGAAACTAACATTGCCGAATTAACTAAACATCGCAGGGCGGAAGTGACTCCTGGTGGATGCTATAATCCACCAAGATTCATAGAATCTGCTAGGATCCATAAAATCCACCAAGATCTATGAGCAGCCGTCAGAATCCAAGGATCCAGGAGTAGTGTTTCCCCCATTGGTCTAACTTCTAATTAAAACAATTTCAAACTCATTAATGTCTGTAATCAGGAGCAGGTAGCCTAAAAAATCGCGCTTCTAGACTAATTTAGTTTGTGCACTAAAAATATCAAGTACTATACTTGAGTTCCGATTCAATTCATTCATATTGGCGAATTGCTAGTGTGACATTCGCCAATTTGGCGAATTACTAGTGTGACATTCGCCAATGAATAAAATATTTTCGCATTCCTTGGTTCACCCATTGGCGAATTTCGTGAGGAATTTCTCCAATTGGCGAATTACTTGTGGATGTTCGCCAATTGGCGAAGACTACAATTGGCGAAACGATGAATTGGCGATAATATATTACCCCGCCGGAAAACACGAGAAATCGCTGGAACATGGAAGCAGTATTCCGGTCAAAAATACGGCCGGACTTTTCCGGCGAATTCCTGTCAAGTTCCGGTTCTTTCCGGCAGGAATTGATCGGAAATCACCGGAAAAATTTCCAACCGGAATACTTCTTCCACAAAATAAACGGAACTACTCGGAACCGACCGTTTCCAGGCCGGACTGTTCGACCTGGGTAACAGACTTTTTTGGCGCATCGGATCCCAGAGTAGGATATGATCGGATAGTATCGGATTCCAATGCTACGGATCCGAATCTCGGCCCAAAACCCGGAATCCGACGGAATCTCTTGGTTCTTGTCGATCTTCATGTAAGATTCGATGCAGCCCATTTTCAGATCCGACTGGATGAGAATACATCCTATTCCGCAATGTTGAACATTCCGGAACCAATTCCACCTAATTTCGTTTATCACTTCCAACACAATTCCGGAATTCCCGGAATCACGGCCTACCAATTCCATATAATTCCCTCAATTCCGATTATCCCTTCTGATTCAATTCCGGAATTCCACGGAATTCCTACGGATTCCGCCTAATTCCCATCGAATCCGGAATTCAGTGCACCCACACTGATATCCACACCCACACTTATGGCAACATCCGCACTAGCACCTGCGCCTTTAAGTTCCTCACTGTATTTGAATAGGAATCTATGGGAAGGGAGCATATGTGGATCTTTTCTGCATCCTCGACATCTTCCCTCATATTCTTATATTCCTTGTTAATGAAAAACAATCTGTGCCCATTAATTAATATGCTTCATTCAGAGTTTTTTTTTCTAGATTCATTTCACGTTCTCAGTAAATGGCCCTATCAAATCAGGGAAGTTATGCATTCAAGTTGTCTGATATAGTAGAAGAACCTGAACGAATGCTGCCACCAATTCAGGGCTATGAGAAGATGCCGTTGGTCTCTCTCGAGGAGGCTGTTAAGCCTCTTATTGACATTGTACCTGAAGTCGAACGAATGGTTTTCACAGTTATGCCAAATTGTCAGAACTCATCCGATGGTCTCTCGACTGACGAGTCCGCTTCGATCATGATCTATTCTTTGGATTGGAATCCACACGAAACATCATTCTATATGATTCTCAACAAAATACTACGTGGTGGAAATCGAGACTTATTACGACCTTGGTTTCTATACTTAAAACTAGTACTTACTGCTCTTTCGAAAATACCATCTAAACGTCTTGTTCTTCATCGTGGAGTCAAAAAGGATTTCAGTGCGAGTTATCATCAGGGGGAAATAATCGTCTGGTGGGGATTTTCTTCTTGCACGTCATCGATTCATGTTCTCAAAAATGACGAATTTTTGGGCGAGAGTGGCACGCGTACATTGTTTAGCATTGATTGCCATTCTGGAAAAGACATTCAGCAGTATTCCATGTATAAAACAGAAAACGAAATCTTACTACTTCCTGCCCGTCAATTCAAAGTTATATCGAGTTTGAATGTGGGCAATGGTTTGCATATTATTCATATAGAAGAGATTGATCCAGTATCTCCTTTACTTGCACCTCCGTCCGCAAGTATTGCATTTACGTCACCGAAGTCATCACTATGGATCTCATCAATAAAACCGCAGAATTCTGAGCATGATCAAAATGCTAAGCTCGAACAAATCATATACAAATGTCAATCAGGCAGGATAAATTTAAAGGGAGAACGATTAAATGATCAAGGCATGGCAATCGTCGTTAGACAGGGTATTATTGGCAAACAATGCATAAAACTCGATTTGATGAATAACGAAGTTACACCGGGTAGTGTCGCGATTCTTATAGATGCATTACGGAATAATACGTGCTTGGAAGAACTGAATATTACAAGTAGTAGTATATCTGATTCGGATATTCGTTTGCTGGCATCAGTGGCCAACAGTTCGATTCTGAAACGAATTGACCTCGAAGATAACGACATATCTGATGAGGGTGCAAGATATCTAGCAGACATGCTTGAAACGAATACAAAATTGCTTCGATTATCATTAATTAAAAATCATATAAGCAGTCGTGGTGTGAATATGTTAGCCAATGCTCTTACAAGTAGCAACACGAATCTCGAAGTTTTAAATCTAAGTGCAAATGCCGATGTGGATGATGAAAGTATCGCTTCAGTTGTGAATATGATGGAGCATAATCGATCATTAAAAAAGCTCGATTTGCGCCATTGCGATCTTTCAGATGATGGTAAAGCAAAACTTCGAACAGCAGCCAAGTCGAAAAAAGGATTCGAGTTGTGGCTCTAGCATTCCATGTAATCATCATACGAAATTATTCGAAACAGTTTATTTTTCACAGTGTGTTGCACTTTGCAAGAAATATAGCTAAACTAGATTATTATTCTAATAAAAATTATGATTAATGTTTACAGAATATAACGAGAATGAAATTTGTTCAAGAGCATTATTTGTTTGGTAAAAAAAACAGTTTACGTTAAAATTGTGTGGTATATTAATGGTACATTTTTCTAGGAAGATTTTCGAATAGCACTCATATAACTGTAGCTATGCCTTCAATATATGTCTTGAAGGTTAATGAACACACAAAGTCAATATGCTTGAATTTTCTTGCTGTTTTTTCAACATTATCTAAGTCATTAATGACTCACTTTAATGTTGAGCAGAAAATTTCATTTACAGTATCAACTCTCGAGATGGTGACTACACCATTGTATCATGAATATTTTATCAATAAATTTATCTGACTTTTAGTTTACGATATCTTGATGGTGACTAATGGTTACTAATATCACGATTTCGATGCGACAAAGATTACCATCACGTATCTTGACTTCGGATATTCATAAGGTAGAGTAAACACCTTGATATCGTCTCAAAAGTGAAATAAATTCAAGAGAAAATGAATTGCACTGATGATTTTAATTCAAAATGAATCCAACAAAACAATGGTACGAGCATTTGCTACGGTGAGTAAGAAGCTGCTACTAGAGAGAATCAATAACCTTATAAATTACGTAGGTATTTCCGAAGTTGATCATTGGGATTCTATTGAATATTTCAAAACTAGAGGAAAACCAGGTTTTTTGCCTTTTGTTTTGATTAATTATAAAGAAGATTGTGCGTGTGTATGGAGAAACTCTATTTTTACACTTTTTCCATTACTTGACACGACGATAAGCTGTATATCTCTGAGTCATTGTTCATGAGTTATAATGAATTATGAGATGACTAGATTATGTTGATTTAATTCTTGTTGCTTATAATCAATTTCATCATTGATATTATCATTGTCGATATTGGATTGGTCGCTATTTTCGTATCGGAGACTCACTAAAACCCAGACGATCGAATAATTGTTTACAGATTGTAATAAATTTCTTTTCCGTACCAATTACAGGCAAGACGTGTAGTTGTGTATTTTTCAACAAAAGAACTCTTGAATTAACGACTAATATAATGTACTTAGTATCTATAGACAGATTCAATGAGTTAGAATGAAAGAAGTGTAAACTTATTCATTGTAGAGCAGCATCAGACGAATAAACTTCAACCATTCCTCCTGCACTTTGCTATTTCTCTCCATTTATAAAGAACGCATTGTATGAGACCGTGGTTAATCAAATATCTAAAATCTTATTCAAATATTAAGTTTGATACTGTTGTGGTAGTATGAAGTACTTGAATCAAAATAAACGTATATTTTCATCATAACATTCACATGTATATTGCGTTGACAACCATTATCATACATCTCTCGATGAAAAGATAAAATCTCTTGTAGATAGATTTGTTCTTATCTAGTATGACATAATTTACGCTGTTGCTATTTTGTGAAGTAACAAGACTATGCCTAACTCAAATATATTTATTGTGTCTTTCGCTGTCGACAAAACATTTAAAAAATGAACATCTTGATCATAGTTGTGTGTGGAGTTTCGGTTTCCATCGGTAAGAATAAGTTAAAGGCTATATATAAACTTTCAAACAATATCACTGGGAAATATCTGTTATAGATGTAATTAAATCTACATCTACAATTCGTGATACTACCGAATCTATTGCCGATCAATGCTACTATTGTTCGTTTTGTCCACAGCCATTCCGACCAGACGGTGATTACGTCAGTACTACCGTTTCATCTACGAGTTGGTGTGTTGTGAGCTCTATTTTTCTTTCAAAATTATATGACGTATTCATATTAAAATATGTCATTGTATTTATAGACGTAGAGCATCATAAATGAGAGCGATAGTAGCTATGAACTAGGTGTTGCTTATACGGATCTTTGCCAACACGTAGGATGTTCATGGGCTGAAGCCGATGGAGTTATCCAATGGGTATGTTGCTGTGACCAACATCTATGTAATACTGGCATTCCGCTGCCAATATCTACCACTACTGTGACTAGTCGTGTCTCAACAGTAAAATCAACAATCGACGTACTAATCGGTGCACTAGCACTACTTTCTATAGCAAGCAAACACACTTGAGGTTTTTGCTTTTATTCGCAAAGAACTTTTATTACATTTTCATCTTGAGGGTGTGGGCGAGTTTATAGTTACGAATAATTTCAAACTCCATACAATGTGTTTCGATTACTGCTTACATAATCAGCGTATACACTTTTCTAGTCTCTAGGCTTCTTTGATACAGGACATGCGCAATAATTCAGGATCGTTCGAGCACTGTTACATCGAATAGCTAAGTTTATCTTGCAGTTTCTTAGGTAAGATTTATTCGATAATTTCGAAATTTGGATTACAGTGTATCTCTGAATACACAATTTATTTACAAAATCGAAAGTCTCTCCATGTCAAGGGTGGGTGTGGGTCCTAGCTAGGGTAACACTCATGCCCTCACGAATATCGATCGAGATGTATTGAGCTGCCATTGATAAACATTCTGTAATTGATCCAGGTTTCATTATTTCTATCTTCTTGCCATCTAATTCATCATACCACGCCTAACTATACAAAGTTTGAACCGCAAATAATTTCTTTAACATGATTGCCACTTGAGCACATGATGAAATATTAATCCGATCGATAGCTAAATCAAAGGAAATTAAGAAACAGGGAAGGTTACTATTAACTGCCCGCTGGGGTAAGGTAATATTAAAATAGAAACGAGACTGAGGACGAAGAATAATGAATTGTTGTTGGTAGGGAAATGCAGATTTGCAGTAATACCTGGAATAATTTCGGGTTGTTCCATTAATGAACGTATTTTTGAATGAATTTGTTACTGTGGTAAATTACACGAAGGAAGTGGTTGGAGTACGAGATGCGGCGGGCATGGTGTATCTAATTTATGTTATTTTTTAACTGGAACTAAGGATTGTTGGATAAGTGTACGATTGATTTAATGACGGCTGAGAAAGACTGCCAGATCAGATGGCACGATAGGATTAGAACACATTATCTACACTTAGTCTTAGGTGAAGGTACTACCAGAAGAGGAACATAATTAATATGTGACTGATAGATAGCTTGTAAAGGAAACAATTGAATAGACGTTCTGTTTCTTCCATGTAATGAAACATAACGAGGAATAAATATTTCAGGTAAGTTATTATACAAAAACTTGAATTGAGTTGCTACTTTCTAATTAATTTTTGTCTTCGCAGAACAACAAGCAAAAACATTTTTTTTATGAAGAAACATGTTTTATACCTAGTAATACCATTTTCTTAGTGATAATTTATTCACAAATAAATCTATGATATATATTTACATGCGAAAGAAGCCTATTCAGATAAAATAATTTTAAAAAGGAACATTATTTCAGTGGTATTTCATCGATATACAGTGTCATACATATTATTTTGAATGAAGAAGTATCCAATCGTTCATGTACCATTGAGTGTAAGGCAAACGAAACACCGTTCTTATATTAAAGTGACAAAAAATTAATGCAATAAGATATAATATTACATTCATGTTTGTTTCTCTTTGTCATAGCGTATTCGTGCTAATAAAAAACAGCGAAAACAATATGGGCCTAGTATAATTCATTCATCATCTCGAATTAGTCCAATGAATACATCAATGAAAACGCCTACAAACCTTTTGATGAAAAGTGATACAAGCAAACCACAAGAAACATTTCAAGCGTCATCGTTTTCTTTCGAAATTGAACTATCAACAAAAACCGCTTCCACGTGATTTAGAAAGCTTTTCAATTATTCTCAAGTACAATGGTTTACTTTACTTTAGACACTTAAGAACAGAGAATATTGAAAAAACGAAGATATATCCAAAGAAATGGCTCATAGTTATTATTGTCATTACTATTCTCTTAGCATTGAGTGCGCTTGCAGTTGGTATTTATCTTATTATTCATTTCAGAACTACAAAAGCAACCACAACACCAAGTAAATTTTTCTTAGTTTTGTTGAGTCGAGCAAAGCAGTCAGAATATTGTTCTCCTCTATTTGAAAAAAAAACTATATACTTCTTTTACAAATAAATGCCTGCTTGAATTTTAAAGGGTTCAATCTAATAAATTTTATTTTTCTAGTTCTCAAACCTTTACTTCGTTGGAACTCAACCGGTTTAACTGTAGGTGGCGTAGGCGGTTCATCAGGTTCCACTTTTGATAAACTTAATACTCCTATTGATCTTGCAGTGGATTTTTCCAATACACTCTATATTGCTGATTTCAATAACAATCGAATTCAACAATGGCTTACAGGTGCATTAAATGGTACAACTGTTGCGGGTCAAGCAAGTGGAACTAGTGGTATAGGTGCAGCTTATCTAAGCAGTCCCGCTGGTGTGTTTATTGATTCAAATAATAATCTTTATATATCTGACTCAACTAATGCTCGAATTCAACAATGGGCTAGCGGTGCAACAGTGGGAACTCTTATTGCTGGCACAGGTAGGACAAAAACACAGTGATACTAGATAAAGTGATTATCTATGTAATTATATTTTGTTGCTTTATCCATTCAGTCGAGTCCGACTCTTGGCGATCCAATGAATCAGACCTCTCCACATGTTTCTGTTATGAGCCATTGTGTTGAGTTGGGTTAATGTTAAATGTGTGTCTTCTTTTATTGTGTCAATCCATCTTTTCTTTTGTCTTCCTCTGCGCCGTTTACCACCGACCATGCCAAGCATTATTTCTTTTTCTAACGAATCTTGTCGTCGCATTATATGTCCAAAGTATGATAATTTTAACTTCACCATTGAAGCTTCCAGTGAGCATTCAGGTTTTATTTCTTGCAAAACAGATTTGTTGGTTCTTTTCTCCGTCCATGGAANTCATTGAATTTTCTTGGTAAGAATACTGAAGTGGTTTACCATTTCCTTCTTCAGCGCAGTCCGAGTACTTCGTAGCAATCCACTATCGCTGCTGCCCGATAGTTTCTGCGTACGCGCATTGGCCTTAAAGATATCTTTAAGTTTCTCTCTCATACCACGCAGAGGTTGCACGTTCCGGCTTCATGAGAGATGTAATTATATATTCAAAATCTATTTTCTATTGTGCTGTATAGCGCATACTTTTCTATTTAAATTAATTAGCATTAAGCTAATTTGTACATGATTTTGTTTATAGGTTCATCAGGTTCTGCGCATAATCAATTGAATACTCCATATTTTATTTCGCGTGACATAACTACGAATACACATTACATCGCTGATTTCAATAATCATTGTGTTATGAATTATGCATCGTGTGCACCGAATGGTACTTTGGCCATCGGAGGGCAAGGGCCAGGGATGAACAACACACAACTGAATTATCCTGCTGGAGTTTATTTCGATTCAGCATCGATTTGCCTTCTTATTGCTAATTATGGTGGTCAGCACATTGTTCGCTGGACGTTAGGTAATAGTAATTGGACTTTGGCTGCAGGGACCCTGAAATGGTTGGTAGCTCATCGACACTTCTCAGTTATCCGACAGGTGTCACAGTCGATCCAATGGGTAATCTGTACGTAGCTGGTACTGGAAATCAGCGTATGCAACTTCTTTTAGCTGGTCAAACCAATGGAACAACACTTGCTGGCATAACTGGGTTGAGCGGTTCCAATTCCACTCAATTAAATTCCCCCTATTCCATAAGGCTCGATAATCAACTCAATTTATTCGTAGCTGACACGATTAATAATCGAATACAAAAATTTGTACGATATTAAATAATTTTTTTTAAGGGTGTTGAGTATGTGGTATGGTGTATACTAGTGTTCTTATGCATGAGTATATGTTTTAATATTTGTTGAATCTCCCCACATCCACAACGCAAATATCGTACATAAAATAGATAATGAACTTTTCATTACTAATAGTTAATCCTTTGTTTAGTGACTTTATTTGTGCCATATGGATGTCAAAAAAGCGGAGAATTTTTTCGTATATTCATCTTTTAATATTTAAATGCCCATGTATATGTATGTTCTTGCTTCGAGCGCCCTCTTCTTCATATGATAGAGGCTTAGAACCATTTTATTGCAATGGAAAAAATGAGTGTAGATAATCTACTGTAGATGATCTCATCAATCAAATTTATCCATTTCACTATTACTGATTGAAATATTTAAAAGAAAAATTATTTATAATGTTTAAAAAATCCTATCATAGTGCAATATCTCTGATCATTGTTGCCATACGTTCAATAAAAATTGAATCTGAACTCAATTTAGTTAATCAAATGAAATTAATGAATGACAAGAAGCAATTCAACAAGGCGCTCGAATTATTCGATAAGCATAAGGACAAGAGTATTGACCGATCTTCCAATATGATTCTTACACAGATTTTAAAAGCATGTGCCGGCATAGGTGATCTTCAACGTGGATCAACAATTCATCGTCTCGTTTCATCTCGACTTGAAAACGATTCTTATCTATTAGCATCATTAATTCATCTCTACAGTAAGTTGTAGTAAAACAACTTCCCCATATTTCTCTGTATATTACAGTGCAGTGTGGTGAAGTAGCTCAAGCTCAATCCTTATTTGACGTATCAACAAAAAAGACATTATCAATTTATGGAGCTATGATGAAAGGTAGATTTTATTTTTATACGCATAATCATATTAAATCAACTTGTTTATTTGAGGTTATATTAAAAACAATCAAGCAGATAACGTAGTTGATCTGTTCAAGAGGATTAAAAATCCTGATGAAATTATTATTATTCTTTTGTTTAATGCTTGTGCTCAATTAGGAACAGATGAGGCATTAAATTTAATAAAACAAGTCTTATCAAAAACCCCAAAATCATTCGAATCAAATTCTTATCTTTTAACTTCTCTACTAGATGCGTTAATGAAATGTGGTGATGTTAAGCAAGCTGAAATATGGTTTAATAGGTCGACAAAAAACTCTTACCAATGTATGGAGCTATGATGAAAGGTAACAGTTCTTTCAATAGGTGGCAGAATTTCATTTAATTGGATCGAGTAATTGTAGGCTATATACAGAATAGTATGGAAAACGAAGCTATTGAACTTTTTAAGAAATTAAAAACTCCCGGTGAAATTGCGTTCACTCTTTTTTTTAATGCTTGTGCCCAATTAGGGACAGAGGAAGCATTAAATTCAATAAAGCAAGTTTCATCGAAAATTGTTCAATCATTTCAATCGAATTCTCGTCTTTTAACTTCTCTATTAGATGGATTAGTTAAATGTGGTGGCATAACATATGCTGAAAATTTATTTAATACATTTAAAAACAAAACAGTTTCAATGTACAAAGTTATGATAAATGGATTTCTCAAAGAAAATAATTGTTTGAAAGTACTCAGCTTGTTTAATCAAATGAAGATGAATAACGTTGAAATAGATCATATCATTTGGACTTGTATTATTAAATGTTTATCAGAAATTGGTGATGGCGATTTCTGTCAATCGATTGTTGAAAAAATTCCTGAATCTTGTTTTGTTGATAGTCAAATACATAATGCCTTAATCAATATGTGGGTTAGTTCAAATGGAATTCTTTTTAATATTTTTCGTTCTAAAAAATCCAATTTAGGGAAAGTGTGGATGTGTCAATCGAGCAAAAGAAATATTTGAAAAAATGTCTCAACCGAATCAAATTGGATATGCAGCAATGAGTGTGTTTCAAATATTTTCCTTTGAAAAAAAAAGAACTGCTCTTTTTTTCAGTTAATTCTTATGGCTTAAATGGAATGGGCCTTCAATCAATTGAACTTTATTATCAAATGCCCAAAGAATTGATTAATGAAGCCACATATATTTGTGTTTTAAACGCATGTTCACATTCCGGACTTGTCAACGAAGCTCTTTCAATATTCAAAACTATTGAAATCAAAACGGAACGAATATATACCAGTATAGTAAAACAAATTGTGTACTTTCTTTTACAGTTGAATGAGTTCTTTTATTAGATCGATTGCCTCAGTCGTGCATCATTTTTCAAAGAAGCACAACAATTAGTAGACGAATTTGAACGTTCGCACATACCTGCATTACCGATGCATCGTCAGTATGCTTTTAAATATCTTCAACGAGTTATTTGACTTCGATCAAATATTTCCTATTTGTATTTAATTTCTAAAAAAAGGTTCATTAGTCAAATATGAATATAGATCATTTCGCTGTTTTGTTAATTGCTGTCTGCATATAGAGAAGTTCAACCTCACTTAATTTGAAATTTAATATCTAATTGAAATGAAAGATGATTTATTTCGTTAATCGAAACGTTCATCCTGCATGATCTCGAAAGCAAAAATACCGATATAGGTGACGATTTTATTTTAGTTCTGTATTTTTAGACTCGATATTATTCAGAATAACCATCGAAACGTTCTTTTCTACAATGACTGTTTTGTATAGTAAAATAAATTTTATAAATAAAGCGAATCTACCATGAAAAAATGTTTTTTTTTCCTCGACGAAGAATCATTCGATTTGATCAAGGGAAAGTAGAACATTAAAATGACGTGTCTCGCATTTTTCTGTCGCCATTTGGCATAGCATTGCACGATGTACGATGAAGATATATCGTCTATTAACTAATGTTTTATTGAAGGCTATGTTTTTTGTTTGAGACTACGTATAGCCGAGTCAACTGAACATAAAACTTCCGTACATCTTTTCGTCTGAATTATTTCTGTATTGATGTTTAGTTGAGTGTTTATGTTGTGAAGTATATAAATATCGCTAACGAGAAATGTCAGTAAACCACTTTTTCCAGCCTGATCTTCTTTGTTCTGAGAGAAAACTGGTCTATCAAGTATATTTTGCCGTGAAAGAAACTAAAAAACTTCAATTCAATATTTTAATATGACTTAGAGTCAGAGAGTAATCGTTGCTTTGATTGATGTTGAAATAGATTTTTCTTCTATTAATTATTCCTCTAAAACAGGAATGAGGTAGCAATTTTCATAAAATATAACGATGAACAAAATTTAACAAAGATAACATTAGGAAATATGGTACACAGTAGCTATATGTAAGTTTAAGTACTGATTTTATTTGTCTCAGCAATAAAGTTAGAACTCATTTATGTCCTTCAGTTTCATTAAATCAATATAAAATACGGTCAGTTAGCATCATATTTTTCATTCTCTTCAATAAGCTTCTTCTCGATTGTTAATCGAAGTAATGGTAGGAAAGGTCAAGAGAAATCAGAGAACTTCAACTGAAAACATGCGATCACTTCTCTTCGAAAATACATAATTACACAAAAAAAGAAATAAGAATGAACTACATACATATAATAAAAGAACATCAATAAAGATAAAATAAAAGTGTAATGTTGTTGTAATTATTTTTCAATTTGCCGTTCGAACAGGATGTTATCGATATTCTTAGACTTCCTATTTATCCTTCGTTAATTTATCATTTATCCAACTGTTGAAAAATTTTGCATTCAACCCTTGTTATTACAACGGAAATAGACATGATAGATCGAGCATTTGAAGAAAGAAATGGAAATTAATTTCTATCGTATTTCTAAAATTCTGAAAATTCTGCAACATGATCGGCTAAAAAACATCTGAAAACGACAATTCTGTTTTTCCGTTGTTCAGGTCAAATTTTGAAAGGGAATGACGCTACCATTTTTTTTTATAACAAAAACGTTCGTGTGACATTGCCAGAGCATGTGGATCTCATTCTATTCTGACCTGATGCCCTACGCTGCTCCAAGGTAGGACAGGTCTATACTAGCCTGCCAACATCTACGTCATTAACTCAAATTAAATCGAAAGAGTGAAATTATTTAATTTTATGAAAAGAAATGACAAACTTGCCAAACGATAGACTCGAATTACTGATTCAAGCTGTGTCGCGACGAGCATATCAGATGCATTTTATATTTGCATGTCAAATGAATATCAGATGTGTTGTTTTATTTCTAAGAATTAAAAGCAACAAATAACAGAAAAGCTAAATACAGAAATAATTTTTTATTGAAATATTTTGCAATTTACTCTCGCTTGTTTATTTTCAGTTGCATTGTTATCAGGCGCTCGGAATGCAAATAATAGTCACATGTCGCAACAAATTTATGATCGTGTGGTGAAACTTTTTTCTCAGTCAAACCATTCATTAACACCAGCTACAGTTCTTCTTGCTAATGTTTATGGATCATCTGGTCATATTGATAAAGCGTCAGATATTAAAACTCAATTATATCAATCAGATACAAAGAAAAGAATTGGCCTTGCATGGACTGTCACCAATGGACAAGTTTATGTAAGTTTACAAATAAAGTAACATTAATTGAGATAAATAATATGATATGATTATTTTAGCAATTTCGAGCTCATGATCGATCTCATCCTCGATCGCACGAAATCAAAGCGGAGCTTGAAAAAATAGCCAATGAGCTTATTGACCATGGTCATGTATTTGATGCAAGTTGGATTACATGACAATTAAATCTAGATGAAACTATCGTATCAGTTCTTTGCGGACATAGTGAGAAAATTGCAATAGCATGGAATTTTGTTGTCAATCCACATACATCAAAAATTCAAGTTACGAAAAATCTTCATGTTTGTGGTGATTGTCGTAAGTACTTTTATTTGAAAGTTTCTTATTTTTTGTTCTTTCTTTTTTCTTCGTAGATCGAGCAACTAAATTAATAGCTGCCATTCGTCAATGTGAAATTATTGTTCGTGATGCAAATCGTATTCATCATTTCTATACGAATGGACAATGCTCATGTAATGATTATTTTTGAAATAAAAATAAATTTTATTTCAAATTTAAGCCAAAGAAAAATAATTCTTTTCTCGCCAATTTATTTAACAATGAAAAATCAATTAGAAATCGTATCACGAATGTATACCAATTGATTTGCGCGAAATGTAACATAAGTGGATCGATTTCATTGTGACAGAGGATATAGTTACAACTGTGAAAAGACCATGGAGATTCGCGCAGGATAAGTAGACACTCGATTCTCGTCGACACCCTCAATATATCTTGAAAATGCATAGAAATATAGACGAATAAATATAGATTATCCTAATTTTAGTATTCTTATTTAAAAATGAATAGAAAATTAAAGTTTTGACTTTATTGTGAAATAAGTAAACCTATGATTTTGCCTAAAAATGTCAACAGTAGTTGACAGCTTCGGTGATTGAATTGGCCCCATTTGAAGATCATCAATTAACATTTGTAGAGAGAACGAACGCGGACTCCAAGCAGCTCAAACTAATAAAGAAAAAGCTGTTTGTTGATTTTTATCAAGAGTTTTCATGGTTTTACTACAGAATTCAATGAACCTGTTTGAAGTAGAGAAGCATTTCGATCAAAAGCACATTCTAGTAAATATTTGGAATTATTGATATGTCAACTAATATCAAGAGCATTTAGCCAACACCGACCATACATAACCGCTTCTGAGAATAATTTTTATAATTTTTACTTTCTTTCTATCACCAAGCTACTCCTAATAAACGAACAGCATATCCTATATCGAACATTTTTCGCAATGAAGATTCTATTTTATTTGTATTGTTCACGAAACCAAACTACAAGCAAGAAATATGTCACTGATTATCAATTATTACCAATAAGAAAAAAAGAGATTGCACGTCAACGATACGAAGTATATAGCTGGCGGTTCATAGGAAACATCTTTTCTAGTTTGCATTGATTTGAATTGAATATTTGTTCAAAAGATTTAGAGTTTGATTCTCTATGAAACCATGCAGAAGTGTATTCTTCAAGACTAAAAATAAAAAAGTTACGTGTGAGCGTAGCGTGTATAGGTCTTCTTTATATGTGAGGATATGTTTTAAGATTTGTTGAATCTCCTCACATGCACACCCCAGTTCAGATGGTTCCTTCATAACAAAAAAACTCTATTCTAGTGTAAAAATCGTCAAATAATAAACTATCTTAAATTTGATTCATTTTTCATTTATTTTATTATTTTTATTTCCATGACCCAATCAAAAGAAAAATCACAGAGTTATTAATAACTAGAAAAAGGCATTCGATCGATGCCTCTCTGTTGATTGATCAACGATGATGGAAATGACACGCCGAATTTTGCTAAGCAATCGTACGTTGGAAAACAATAAAGTGTTGTTTGTTGATCATCATGATTTGTTTTGAATAAAATTCGTTCAAAATCATTATCATTATCACTATCATATTGAGTATTTTCATCTTTTTCATGTTCATCATCGTGTTCATCATCTGAATGTTCAGTTGAATAGAGATTAATTTGTTTTTCGATGGTTTTTTTCAATGGTACTTGAACTGTTTCTAAACAATTCATTTGTTGAAATAATTCAATACAATCATTGATAGCAACTAGGGATGCACTAATTCCAATTCGAGTCTATTCAATTCTTAGAATTGGTCGGAATTTGTCTGAAACCGGTATAGAATCGGCTCTAAATGAGTGTAGAATTAACTGAAACTGATGGTACCATTGATTAGTCTTGACTAGCAAGTGCTTGGATTTACCTAACATAAAATAAAGAAAGTGGGACGCATGAGGTCTTAAATCTGAAGATTGAGATTTCTATCATATAAAACTACAACTCGAGTCACAATTAATAACATATTTGGAATCAGAGCAAAATACTGACTCGAACAATGCATATTTTAAATACTTTCGGCAACTCTTTTTTTCTACCGAAAATTCATCTGGGGTATCCCTCAGGGTTCAGTCCAATAATACAAAACGACTTTTGTTTCAGTGCTCAGGCATGCGATGTTTTTCTATATTACTAAGCATTTTACATGCTTCACAGTTAATTACTGCTGTCCAAGTTGCTTTCTGATTAGTTTCTTTTTTTGACTGAACCCTGAGGGGTACCCCAGATGAACTTTCGGTAAAAAAAAAGAGTTGCCGAAAGTATTTAAAATATACATTGTTCGGGTCAGTATTTTGCTCTGATTCCAGATATGTTATTAATTGTGACTCGAGTTGTTGCTTTTATGATAGAAATCTCAATCTTCAGATTTAAGGCCTTATACGCCCCACTTTCTTTATTTTATGTTTGGTAAATCCAAGCACTTGCTAGCCAAGACTAATCAATTGTACCATCAATTTCAGTTAATTCTACACTCATTTAGAGCCAATTCTATACCGGTTTCAGACAAATTCCGACCAATTCCAAGCCAAGAATTGGAATTGAATTGGTTGGAATTGGAACTGGTGCATCCCTAATTTACAATGAAGCTACATGTTTTCGCGTTGTTTTGCTTTGAATTCAACGATTCATCTTGGCCATTTCTCTGGTGATCTTCAATCCGATTTATGATGATATGTTCAGTCCCCGTACTCGTTGAATACACACATGAGTGAAGGATATGTTCAAAAAATTAATCTCATCGACAAAAGACAAGTTAATCTGTGTTTATAGTTTTTGATAATGAAGGAGAAAAGTTTAAAAGAAACGATTCTTTGCGACTGTGTAACTTATCGCTGGCAATCATCATGGCTGTTTTTAACAGTATACAATTTCTCCTCGTCGATTTATTTCGATGCTTGTCAGATAAATACGTATGAAAATATTTCAATTTCGTTTGTACCGTTATACCATTTCGCATTGTATACGCACGATCCTAAGAGTACCGATTCATTTTATTCGACCACATGACTTTCGGCACCAACATAGTATGATAGCTAAAAATAAGCTTTGTAAATACAGATGAATCATTCAACTAATGTAAACACTAGTTGTTAATATGATACGCGAAGACGTATTTAATTGACGACGATACTTTAGATATATAATCATAATGACGTGATGTATAATCAAATAACGTCAAGGATGATAATAGCAACATATTTTCTTTGTTCTTGTGATTATTATTTGTTGCGTTTCAGTTGAATGATTTCAATGTGGGCACCTCCTTTCTTTTTTATTTCGACGTAAATATAAAATGTATACAAAACACGCTTTCTGTATTCGATTAGTTATATACACTACAGTTCGCTAAAGCAATCGGAATGTCTGGTGAAGGCCTTTTTGGACGCGGTAAGTTCTTGTATCAATCTTCTCATTGTTGAAATATGTATGCCTATTTAAAGTTATCGGTACCGGTGTTGATGCCGGCATAGATATGCAGGCTGATCGCGTCGCTGACGGTTTTATAGCCAAACTCGAAAATGAAGTGACTGAGATTTGGAATGTCCGATACTTCTATATTTTATCTTAATGTATTTTCACGTAGTTTCTACCTGGAGGTGCCACTGGCACTATCGGTCAAACTATTGACACTGGCGTCAACATGTTCATCAACAACGAAATCAATCGTGATGTCAATCGTTTTGTTTAGACACATCTTATTCGATATCAATAAAATTTATCTATTTCATCGAACGTAAAATAAACTGTAAAAATATATTTTATTCATTAAAATCTGTTAAGATCCCGATATTAGCGTTGATCATGACCAGCTGTTATTTCATATTCACTTTTATTGTCTCTATAAACGAAATTGGGAATTTAAATTATACAAATATAAAAGAAAAGAGCAAATAGAATAGTAACGTGACGTGAGATACCATGATGAAGTATCTTATCGAGATGCAACATGTCACATTTTCTAAATTTTAAATTTAAATAAATAAACTATAATATCAAATCATATCAAATCAAATCAAATTAAATAGATTTACATTTTAAATAAGATAAAAGAAGAGAATTAAAGGGTGGTGTGTGTGTGCACAGGCAATGAATCAGTAAACCCACACCCACACCCTCAAGAACATATGAAATGTAACAGTAGATCTGAAAAGCAAACAAGCCTGCCACTAAGGCACACGATATCATCGCCAAATTTGCTCCTTTCATAATAACATCGTCGCAAAAGTTCATATGATTACACACCTACAACTATTATCATCAAATGATCTCATAATTCACATTTCCAATGAACCATCGCACCATGCGGTTCTAGAAAGCGAAATCAACACCTTCTGAATCTCATACAACTACTTGAGGGTGTGGGTGGGAGTGCATATGAAAGAAGAACGCACACACCCACGCCCTCAACTTGGTCGAGACTGATAATCAATAAATTTCGAAAAGATATGCCTTCTATTACTTTTAATGACATCGTATAGATAAATGAACTGTTTGATTTCAAAGTTTTGCTGAAAAGAAAAAACAAATATCTATCGCAATCATGATTATGCCATATCAAATGATCATATTACTTATCAATGTTAATATTTGTTTATAATTGAGTATTTACACTTGAAGATAATCCTGTTCATTGAATTGAAACTTTCCGTTTATGTACAGTAAATCAAAAATGCTTTCTATCACAAATTATATTCAAGAGCAAGTCAAAATTTTCATGCACGACTTTATATTTTAACTAAAGATGTGCATTTCTACAGCTCTAGTTTATTGAAAATAATAAAAAGAAAATCGCTCTAAGGTTAACACTAATGTTGAATGTATGTAAAATTTAATCCTGTTTAGTACATAAGTCACAGCAGAGAGTTTAAAGATAATCAACCATTATTTTGACGCTGATCTCTCGTGCTAGAATTTCCGAGAAACGCTCGACGAGTGCATCACTTGTTGTACTGTTAGCAGCGATATGATTGAATACAGTTTTAAGATCATTGCCTGTCTGTGCTGAATATGTTCGACCACCACTGGCTGCTGCCATATTAGTCAGCAACTGTGCTGCTGAACTTCCTTGAGATATTCCAGAGCCAAAGCCGACCGTATGACATACAAAGTTGTGATTTACTCCATATTGTTGTTTAAGTTGTCGTATGATTGCTACACAATCTTTACCGCTGCCATCCCCGCCATCTGACATGAAAATCATGACGACCGAGGATTTTGTTTGATCATTAGCTATTGCTTGTTTGGCTATCTCTAGACCTTGAAAATAATTTGTACCGCCACCTTTCATAGATAGCAAGCGGGGCGTATTAGCAAGTTGTTGCTGTTGACAAATAATGCGAGCGGTGGAATCGAACTGAACGACAGTGAAATAATCTCCTGCACCTTGATCATCATTACGTCTGTTTAAAAATGCGTTATAGGCAGATTGCAAGGCGTTCCATTCACCAGTCATGGAGCCTGATTCATCAAGTACAAAGACAAAATGAAATGATTGTGCCTCTTGTTCTTCATCATCAAATAGCTTAATCTTAGTAAATTGTTTGCCTGTCTCGTCCTTTTGAGCATCGTAATAGGAAGCAAAAGCTTTTTCCATTTTAGCTGTTGCATTTGGTTTGATACGACAAAAAATAAGATCGATTTCTGCATCTTTCTTCAGAAGACCGGCACAGATGGTGCTCACTGTGTGTGTTGGTACTCCCTAAAAATATAAAGTCGCATGTATTATAGATATTTATGATCGACAAAATGAAAAAATCTTTTTTTATAATTTATTCAAAAAAAGAAAAATTCGTACCTGAGCATGCTGATCTATAGTTAAATTTTCATTTAGTTCCGGTCCATGGCCCGGTGCATCAGTAATGAGAACGATGAAGCGAGCATTCGTGTTACTCCATGTCAAGGTTAAACACTGATTAAGTGCACCAAGAACATCTTCAGGTATGTCACCACCACCACTTGCTGTTAATCCATTGAGGAAATTAATTATTTTAGTTGCTTCATCAGTGAAGTCCTGAACAAAGAATTGTGGTCTATCACTGATATCACGATAGCCCACGATGGCAAAGCGCAATTTTAATTTAAGCGATGGATATTCTTTTTCAATCAATTTGGTGATGTCTTCGATAATTATTTTCATTTGTCCTTTAGCTGCTGATAACCATCGTGACATACTTCCAGTACAATCGAGACAGAAACAAATATCAACTGTTATATTAGATGGTGGATGACCACTATTAATTAATATTTTCTCGCGTTCACCAGCCAAATCTTGTATCATTTCTCCAAAGACTTTATTCGATTTAATGCCATCAAAGAGGGTCTTTTTCGGTGTGTCACTGTTTTCATCGTTATCTATATCTTCATCTTCGTTCGTTTTTTGTGGCCATTCGAGTGAAAATAATTGAGTTTCTTGTTCGAATAAAGATCTCAAAGCTTTAGGTAAACCATATGGTGCAGCACATTGTAAATATCGTTTATACGTAGACTTTAAATTGGTTTGATCGGTACCTATAGCCATTGCAATAAGATCAATGTTATGATCTTCAGCACGTTGTTGTATCATAGACAGACGATTGCCACAATTGCTATAACCATCAGTTAGAATAAAAATCTTCTTTTCACCTCGTGTCGGACATTGAATAAGAAGATCGATAGCAGCCTCAAGAGCATCTGCATCTTTAGTATCATCATCTCGATCGAAACGTAGTTGCTGCATGAGTGTGTAAATGCAAGCTGCATCCCAAGGCTGTTCATTGGTTTTAATTAAGCGCACATCTCTACCAAAAACAATAATACCGAAATTTTCCAAACTAAGTTTTCGTAGCGCAGCAGTAAAGACGACAATTGTTTTGATCATACCAATACTCAACGTGCCGAACATAGAAGTCGACACATCTAAAACAAGACAAATTGCATGATCTCGTTTGCCACCGGCTAATTTAGCACTAAAAATTTTCTTATACGTCCACTCAGTAGTCATTGCTTTGATCACACCAGGCAAATACAGAGATGAGCCACGTAGTGCTGCTCGACGGCGCGTAAATTTGTTAAACGGAAAGACTATGTCACCAAGTACAGCCGATAGATCATCGACTAGACCTGAAAACTCATATTCATAGCTTATCCATTTTTTCTCTATCTCTTGCATCATAGATGTTGGTTTGAGCGAATGATAATATTGGCGAAGTGCATCCATAGCTCGCGATCCATAATCAGTGTATTCATGTGCTTGTGATAAATAAGTTGATAATTGTGAACGAATCTAAAAAAAGAGAAAAATCAATATATTAATAGATTGAATTTCAGAGAACATCTTCGTTGTAAGAGATGATTATGAAATCATCGAATATCTATTTACTTGGGTCAATCTTGGGATGCTAGTTGTTGGACTGCTGATTGTATACGAAGTTTGATTGATTGCTGTATATTTTTCTTTTGTAGCAAGAATTTCTTCAATCAGTATATTTGAATTAACACATGGCACTTTGATTTGGATCACTGGATATGGTGTTGCCGGTGGTAATGCTGATGAAGATACTTTGGCCAGACAAGCCTTTACCATATCATGCATAAGTTGAGGTATCTTATATGGAAGTTCAGAAATATTATTTGCTTTGAGAATGCAACTTTGAGCTTGCTTTAAACGTCGAAGTAGAACTTGACTGCTACTTTGATCAGCTGTTTCAATGAACATGAAACCAAGATTGATTTTATTTCTATTGATTGTTTCCGAATAACTTTGATCATCGCGTTCTTGTGTTAAACCATCGGTAATCATCAAAACAAGGCGATGAATAATAGATTCTGACGGTCTTTGTGTTTCTTCTACTGGAAATATTTTATTAGCGATACGTGCCAGTCCTGTAGCAGGATATGTTCCTTCATCAAAAGTTAATGCTTCAAGAACATATTGTCCATCTTGATTCGTGAAGAGATCATCAAGATTTTTTAAGATTTTCTGGTTAGTTCGCGTGCCAAATCGTGCAACAGCAAATTTACTTTCGAGCTTACGCAATAATTCCATAATGATGACAAGTGCTTCATAAATAGAATTTCGATGCAAACTCATCGAACCCGAATTATCGATCATAATACACCAATGAATTTGATGTTCTTCAGCTAGATCAAGCTTTTCCCAATACGAACGGAACTCTTTCACTATGAGATCGATCATGTGATTAATTGCCGGAATCTCAACAACCAATTGATAAGTCCACCGCTCATGTTGACTCGATGGTTTAAGAAGTGATCGATTATCAAGTTTCCCATCGGGTACAATCGAAGCAGCTTTAGCATTTATTTTTTCGTACATTTCTATTAGATTCGGTTGTTTTTGCAAATGTTCTTGCATAGCTTTCATTCCTAAATCAATATTTATCTCTTGATTATCACTTGCATCCATCGGAATAATGTCACTCTGAGCGGCTCCACCGCTGGCAGGTATAGCTTTCATCGTATTCGTATTTTGATTTAACATACCACTTGCTAAATTCTGGACATTTGCTCGAAGACCTTGATTCGAAGTTAGTTTGCTCATTTTTTTCGATTTCATCTCTTTTCTCTTCTTTTCCAATTTCAAAGCATCTTCTATCTGTTGATCACTCTGTGCTCCAGTTGCATTTTCCCAATCATCGAATGACAACGGTGTATCATCATCGGTGTTTGTCACCGATGTTAATCCACTTGTCTGCTGTGTAGGTTCGGGCATATCCGTTATTCCTGAAAGGATCTCAAATCTAGGTTTATTTGAAGACCGACCTTTAGGCGCAACAGAAGCCGAAGGAGGTTTGAAATCAACTTTAATTCGACTGACATCAATATTCAATTGACGCAAAGCATGTCGCATGTTTGGATATTTCTCGAGAGCCAATGAGAGTAAACATTTCTCGAGTTGCATTAGTTCTTTCGTCAAGAATTGAATACCGATACGAGCGAAGGTAGGCTCAAGAACTTTTCTTGCAATAATAAGATCACGAAGCAGCTGAATACCATATTGAACAATGTCATGAGCAGCTCTGATTCGTTGCAAATCAGTAGGATTTGATCGATAATGTACAAGAACATTTAGAGTAGTAAATGTAGCATACCATTGATTAACATGTGCCCGAGTGTTCAGTGCTGTGTCGACAATATGACGAATTGTATCAGATTCAAGAAAAATTGCTGGCGGTCGAGAAACATTCTTAATGTAGTTCAGTACTGATGTTTCCATTTGTGTGAGTGTCGCTTCCGAATAAGGACATTCAATTGATGTCATCCTCGTAAGTATTGGCTTTGGTGCTGTTTGTTGAACAGTCAACGGTGGAATCTTTTCATCACAAGTACGTTTAGCGAGAGTTTCACGTATTGTAATGAGAATAGAAGGTAAATTGCTTGTAGGCACAGTTAACGGCTTGACGAAGTTTAATGCACGATTATGTTGGCGAAAATTGGCGAGACGGCAAAGTGCTGATGTTAATGCTGTTGTATAGAGTTGCTGAGCTAATGGAATATCTTTGGTGTATATTAGACCATGAAATGAAGTTAAGATAGACGAGATAACTGTGAATACTTGTTGAGAATTCACACAAGTAATATTGAACAGTGTTAACCATGATGTAACTAGATTATCGAATAAGATATGTTGACTTTCTACGTCCAGTGCAGAATGCGATGATAGACGCAGCAAAGTTAGATAGGCATGGATTTTTTCTTGCATTGTTGGAGGGCTATGAAATTGGACTTTTTCGAACAATTCGACTATTGAATTATTGACAGATAGCTGACTAATGGCAGATTCATGTGATTTGAGCGCACTTAGTTCTGTTTCGGTTGAAACAAGACGACATAGTTCCAAGATCGTTTCTGCCATTATTTCTTCGATATCGGCAGTCGCCAATACTTCTATAAGACCAAGAACAATGCGATCACATTCAATACCATCCATAAATTTGAGCGCTGTATCCCATGTCGGTGTTGAATTGAGACCCAAGAGTAAGTTTCTGATGGAATACCATTTTTTATTTGGACTGAGGACATCCAGAAGAAGAAAAGCCTGTGAAATGGTAGAAGCTACTGTGACATTATGTTGACCTAGATCACAAAGTAAATCATAGGCAAAGGTAATAGCTTTTCTGGTAGAACTCCACTGAGAGACTGTAAATCCGATAAGCTGGCGCATTATATCACAAAATATTTCATGATTGCCCGTATCAATCATGGGATTATGCTGACCACCAATCGTCCGTGTTTCGCGAAATCGGAGAATTTGTGATGCAAGATAATCGAGCGATGTATATGATGAACCAAAATGAGTTTTTAATGCTTGATAAATATTATTAAAGGAAATTTCTTTGAAGATTTTTCGAATAGAATCGAATGAAATTGATGGCTCAGAACATGCAAGAATTACCTCACTCACTGTTAATAAATCATCCATTCGCGATTGTTGTTTGTCTGACACAGAGATAAGAATGGGAATAAGTTTTGTGTAGTCAGCAAACAATGATGCAATGATATCTGATTTTATATTGGCATCCAATGAGTTCCACGGCAGATTCATGTTTTTAACTGCTACAATTAGTGATCGTTGAAGTGACATTGTTGATTGTTGTCGCTTGAATAGGATCAGGTGTAATTCGAGTAACGCTTGCCATTCCTTTTTAACTAGTCGGGTCATCAGTTCTATAATATTGTCCTCGATATGTGCAAACAACAGAAACCATTTAAAGTCCGATATTTTGATCGAGGATTTGATTAGCTCTCCAAAAGCATTACTTGATGGAATCAGATTTGACAATTCTTGTGAAACAGCTGTTACTTCAGTTAACTGTATTGCTTGATGAATGAATTTGGTGAAAGTACGAATGGTCTCTGGCATAGCACAATCATTACTAATGCATTGATGAACAAGCTCGATCGATTGCCGAAATCCATGATCTAATGGACATTGCTCATAGATGTTCCATAATTTCAATGCATAGCTCTGCATTGTATAGGCTTCACCAATGTTACCAGCTGCATTAATCACACCGAACAATTGAAGTCGAATAGACTCCTTATTGGAAAACGACTGATGAAAGAGACTCGATTGATGAAAGAATGATCGGTAGTTTGGCAATGCAGATCTTAGCAGTTTGGTTAGAATATCAATTGCCATGCTTGCTGTTGTTGCATTCATAAACATATCAAGAGTTAATGCGTTCATATTTGTATGTTGGTTAGCACTATTGAGATTCGTACAGAACATAGCCCATTCATTCGCAGCCAAAGGCAATTTGATTTTCGTTTGCTGTATTCCGCATACATGAGCAATAGCTGTCAGTGCTACAAGGGGAATGTAAGAGTTGTGCAGTGAATGTTCTTGACAAATTTGATACAGCCAAGATGAAGGTAGTAACTCAAGATCTGACCAAATACTCGGCTTGAGATCTTGAGGTAAAGCGAAGTCCGGCAAAGGCAATGTGTGCCCAACAATAACTATCGTAACAGTACGATTGACTAGTTTTCCATCGATGTCGATCACCGGGTCACATAAACTTATTAATTCAAATTCAACAAGTCCAATTATTTCTGGCATAGAACTATTTTCAATTGTATCACATTCAATTACAATATCAAATGAACGTTGCTTCTTCGGCTCAATTTTCAATGGTCGATTGATTGATGATGGTCTTACATTCAATGATGATTCTTGTAGAGTAGCTACTTTAACAAATGATTTTTTTCTAAGAGGATCAGATATAGCAAAGCGAAGTTCTAGTATTCCAATGTTTTCTACAGTTAAAATACTTTTCTTGAAGATTTTCCCCGGTTGTATCAACCCAATATCAATCAAACTGCGTTGAGTTGTTTGTAAGATTGGTGTATGAAACTCGACATAATATGGAATACGCATTGGATCCATAGATGTATTTGTTAATAGTTCTGCTTGAACATCGAACTTTTCAAAATCGACAGGATGGTAGAGAAAGCGTACAGGAACTTTGGACTTGGGAGGAATGATAAGATTATCAGGTTCCATACGAAAATTAGCTACCAATGATGTTTGAACATCTTGTGATGATACAAGTCGCTTGTAGCTGAGAGTAGCAGCAGCTTTACTGTCATTTGTGAATATTATTTCATGCTCGATAGGTAATAATATTTGTAAATCTTTGTTCCAGATTTGCTGCATATGAGCTGACTGTGATATATTCATAATCTGATTTTTATCATTTTTTTGCATTGAATAGACCAGTTGAGGCTGAGCTGTTTGACAATCAATTATCAATTGAGATTGACGTGTAATATTGATAAAATCGATGGCAAGCACAAATTCTCGATGAGCAACAGCTGGCATTTGAATTTCTATTGGAACTGTCTTTGTTGTATTTACCGATAGATTGACTTCGGTTATAGTAAGTGTAAGTTTCGGTGAGGATAGACGAAGGGTGTATTCAATCGTTCCATCGTTTCGAAATTCGATAGGAATAATACGTTTCTCGTTTTTGTAAAAGTTACTAATTGCTACGCGATACGATTGGCTCTGTTCGTTGTAAGTATGACCTTCATAAATCACTGTAAGACGAGGACGTCGAACATGTGCAAGTACTTTGATCCATTTAAGATTTTTAGCTGAATCAATGGCTAGACAAACATCGGCATCAATATCTTCCTCGATGTTATCTGCTGGTTCAAGTGCAATCCCAAAGGGTACGACTGAATTATCTGGTAATTCAAGTTCATTATTCATAATAATTAACTGAGATTGCCTTTTATTCGTTTCAGTGGCTTGTATTTGAGATTTGATACGTACCGGACATGGTAGCACATTTTTTAGGTCGATTGTCTTCTCAATTCGATGATTACTACAAGCCACGAGACCAAAATCGATGGTATCAATTGGCATTTCGACATCCATTTCGACAATTTGAATAGTCGATCGAATGGCATTCGAAAGTGTTATTGTATCATCGATAACAAGATTCCAGTTTTCATCTAATGAACCAATCTTGGTCGGCGGTCTTAATTGTACTTCTAATTCACACATATGACTTGCATTTACTTGTTGACTTTCACCGGTCACATCGAACAAAGTATCACCTGCTACATTTCTATCAACTTTCACATTCAAATCTTGATCTGTATGATTATGAATAAATATACGCTGTATCAATCGTCTATGAATGCCTATGAGTGTAATGCCAAAATCAAGAATAGCTTTTTGTGGATGACATGCTAAATTAGTTGATGTTCCATCATCGTTCTTTGTTTTGATCAGCCATAGATGAACATCACGGCTCATTTCAGAACGAGCGAATGCCACGGTGAGATCATCTTCGATCGGTAATGACGATAAACTTGCGAGACGTTTAATTTCAGCCCAATTGTTCGATGATCGTTTAAGTGTTCTATACACTTGCTGTGCGTCGTTTACCACTCGTTGGCATTCGATTCGATGTCGAACGACTTCTTCATTGTTTCTTGTGAATGGTCTCTGATCGAGTTGTGCACATTCTTTCAGCATAACTGAGAACTCTTCTTGTGTATTTTGAGATCCATGAGTCAAGCGCGCACTGGCCCATGCATAAGTTAAAGTCATATGTGCCCGGTTTAGATGCAAATTATCCATAAAATGATGTATTTGAGCTCTAGCATCTATGAGGCATTGTCGGCTTGAGTAAAATGCTTTCTGCATCGAATGGGTTTGAACATATTGCAAATCAACATCGATCGCTGGATCATCATCGTTGACGTATTGTATTACTGGTGATATTGATGTGAATTCGCTGATCTCTAGTAGATCTAAGGCTTTCTTCAAGTTATCGATTCGTGGCAATTGCATGAATAGTCTGTAGATATCGGTTGGACTTGATAAATCATTTGGATTTAGTGTCACGTAAGATATTATGGTGAGAATATCTTTCATATGGATGGTCAACTTGTCGATTGCTCGAGTGATGGAAGATGATAGGAACTCACTCTGTTCTTTAGTTCGTTTATATTGATTAAGAAGTTGATGTTCTAGTTCAGTTAAATCTTTTTGCAAATCCCCGACCAATGGAACAGGCGCTTGATTAAGTTCGCTTCCAACACCATTCACAGTGTAACACTTTTTGTTATAAACTCGCTGGCATATCAATTTGATATGATTTTGTATATGATATGGGATTTGATTATCGACGAGTGTGGACCATTTCATTTTACTACCACTATAGTAATCAGTATAAACAGCCAAGTGTGTTATGTGCGTTTTAACAACAATGTTTACTTGTCGAAGAGCAGTATTCAATTGAATGGGTAAAATAAGACAAGGAACTTTTTCTTTATCCGAATCCCAAAACAAAACTGAAATATGTTGAACGTTCCAATCGATACGATTGATTCGCAAAATAAATATACTTTCGGACTCGGGAAATAATTGTTCATTCAGTGGTGACATATTAATTACTGATTGATACTTTCGATGTAATTCGATTATTTTATTTAATTCTTCTTGACGAGCCACCGTAAAGATTCGATTTATGCCATGCTGCTGTGATTGCATAAAAAGCAAAGTATCATGTACTACAGAAGCAAAACAATGATCGATATCATTATGCGTATCATCAGTAGGATCAGACACAAAAAACGACCACATCTTTCGTCCAAAACTAGCCACTTTACGCTTAGCTTTGCTCAAAAATGCTTCATCTTTTGTTCGCTTGTTTTGGCGTAATTGGGCAAAACTTGTGCCAGCATGCAGCCAATTTGTATTGGCTTCTGTTGCTTGTTTTGCAAGCGATTGCAAATCAATCGAATTCCATATATCACGAAAACGTTTTTCTACTGTTGCTTTCGATAAAATATAAAAATCATTGAAGATATTGAATTCTTGTTTATGAATATTTTCAAGTAATCCAAAACTTTCTTCAATCTTTTGAGAATCATTTAATAAGCTTACTAATGATTCTTCGAGAAGTAATTTTTCACCTCGATCATAAATATCGCGTGTTGAATGCATTAATTTCAATAGCACATTATACTTCATGTGTTCCATTGGCATATTCATAATGATCGATTCTAAATTATCGATTCCACCGACACTCAACTGATAGAGAATTTTAAGATAATGAAAATTCTTTAACAATTCCACTTTTTTCTTCGATTCGATCGAGTGTAAGACGAGAGATTTTTGTTGAAGAATTTTTTCAATATTTCCCAATCGAAGAGGACTGTTTGTCTCTGATAAGAGTAGCGAATTGGTCGCGGATTTAAAATTACGTTGATTCCAAGAAAGCTGCCGATGAATATGAAATTTTTGCGTTTTGATGAAACCACGAAATATCTCTTTCATGGTTAAATGCCATCGTTGATTGAGATCATCACAATATAATTTCATGCTTGATCGATTTTTGAGTATAATTTTACATAAATCATCAATATAATAAGACAAACGTTCAAATAGATTCGATCGAAGTTGTTTAGAAATGAAATCGCCTTTATCGTCAATTTGACGTGATTCATCTGTTAGCTGAGCAAATTCGCCACAAACATCCTTGACAATACGATATTCATCATCACTTATTGCCTGAGAAATACTTTCAATTAATTTATCAATTGTTGACCATGTTCGCTCGATTAGAAAGGCTGACGGAAGAATAAATTTAACTAAAACCTGACTTGAACGTTCAATTTGATCAAAAATATTAAATGGATTACAATTAAACTTAAAAGTAAGATGTAATGGAAGCAATAAAAGTATATCACTATGGCTATTCAATTGACTTTCATATCGTTCTAACAGATTTAATAGATCGATTTCTGTATGTGGAAATTGTGAGAAATCGACTAGGTCTGCTGTTACACCAATTAATAAATCATCAAGTGGCTCACGTATTCCACGTTGCAATTGAAAATAACGACAACCAGCAGCGAGCAAATAGATAACAAATCTTTCATATTCACGAATCAAATGTTGAAATTGTGTATTCTGTTGGCCAGTCATTAAAACATCGAATTTTATGACTTCTCTACGAACATGTTTGCTTATATTTTGGGCATGTTTTAGAATATCAATTTGATTGAATCCCATTCGAATTTCATTAAGAAATAATGAACATTGCTCTCGTGTCCATAAGTTTAATTGACATAGACTTTCTTTTCTCTTTTCATCCGCGTAATATTTCATTTGTTGTGTTCGAAGTATTTGACAATAGTCTTTCCAACTTATTGTCGAATTCAACAAGGATGAAAATGAAATGCGTATTGAATCGCAATAGAATGAGATAAATAAGTGCATGGGATCAGTTTCAGCTAAAGCCATTGAATGAGCTTGAACAAAATCGAGTTCTTCTAGTATGGCTTTCTTTAAAATATAAATCTGACTCTCATCCACAATTGATGTTGTTGTTCCGAGTAAACACTCCTTAGCAATAGCTACTGGAATGCAAAGAAATGTATTTAGATCAACTGATGTTGAAATATTCAAACTCAAACGATTTGCTAAATTCACAAGATAATTTTTGATCGTTTCCGAGATTGCTGAGAAATGCTTCAGAACATCATTCATCCACTGATCTTGCGCTCGCTCCAATCCGCGCTGATAGATATTCATTGCTTTTTCAAACTTTTGTTTTTCCCTTGAAATTTCAGTTTGTTTTCCCTTCATTTGTATTTCAGCCGAGTTCTCTCGTCCACTACATTCTTTTACTTTTCTTTCGATGCTTTCAACAACAAAATGGTCTTCGGTCATCGCCAAATGGCAGTCAAGTTCTGCGTCTACTCGTTCACGTCGACGCTTGTCACAATCTTGTTCTAATCTATTTAATTCTTGTTCAAGTTGATGAATATTTGCTTTCAAGTTTGACAATTCGATTTCGTCCTCTTTTAATGTTATAATTCTTAGTAAATTTTGATTAGGTTTGAAATCCTTCAGGCTATTTGCTGACCAATCGATTAAAATCATTAACGCCAATCCAAGTGCTATTTGTATAGGGAATAATTCTTTAATGCTTGTACAAACCGTCATCAAAAGACTTTCTTGAATTCTAGGATCGACACACAGATTGGTGAGTTGCTGAACAACATTGATTGTTTCACTAAAAACATATTGAACATGTCTTTGTCTATCAAATAACGGTATCTTGGATGTTTGCTGACGATAGACAAAACTAGCTAGACCGTGTGTTGCTACTGACGGCGATAATGTAACGGATAAATGCATCGGCTCGACTTTGTCAGTACGACACGACAGAAATAAGTCAATGTCATTTAATTTCAAACAAATCATTTGTATAGCCGATGCATTTTCGGGTAGAAGAAGACAAATAAGATCTTCTGGTCTTAAATCAACAGGTAGCAGACTACAACTAGAATCTGATAGAAAATTTTTCATTTGATTTTGCGCACGATTTAGATCATCGCTAATTTTTTTGATATTTTCCAATACGTTGAACACATTCAAATGGGCGTTTTTTGTCCATTCCCGAAGTTCGGTTGAAAGACGAGCAACATTAATATAATTTGACAACATATCACGATTAGATTCTTCATTTAATAGGTCAACTCGAAATTGAGCATAACTTAAAGCAACATCATCCGCCAAGGTTCGATCATTCTCAATATTGTTCGGATCTCGCTCAATCTGCATGGCTAAATCATCATTTAGCTGCATTAAAATTGTTCGTAGAAGATCTTTTTCATTTGATGTCAACAGACACAAAGCTCTCAACCAAGTTTGATTAGACGCTTGAGCATGCGTCAATCGAATGATTTCACTCAATGCTTTGAATGAATGAGCTCTGCTACTATTGCGAATGTTTTCACGAAATATCTTTAAATCTGATTCATGATTTGTTAAGTTTACTTGAGATGAATCCAATGACAGTTCGGCTTTGGAAATTTCATGAATAGGTCGATCATTTGGCAGTGATACGTGAAACGTTGTATATTGATTGATTTCACGGGTAAATTTTTCAAGTAGATCAGTCAAAACTTGTTCTTCAGAGATAAATGATTTCAAACTACTTTCATTTTCTTGATCAACATCGAATGTTTTCAACTGATCTAACTGTCGATGAATACGTTGAATAATGTGAAGAGGTCGAAAAGGTAATTGACTTGCACGTGACAATAAACCAGTAAAATTTATCATCATTTCATTGATTTTGCTTTGCATAGTCTTTTTTCGGATTTCTATTGGATCTATATTTACAAACGAACTTGAGTGTGATTCATTTGATCCTGAATTTGTTAATGAACGATTTTCTCGATGTTCATCAAATAATGGGGCTAGACGAGTAACAAAATTAACAAGTCCATATCGGGAAAGAAGCGCCGACGGTAAATATAAATTCGATAAATATTGATCAAGTTTTCTTTGAAATTCTTCAAAGATTTCTTTTGATTGCTTAATACCGACGTGTACAAATCCCTCAACAATATCGATCACTTTTAATGTTGTACGAAAAATGACTTCAAGATGTGCGATAATATCAGGTGTAGATTGGTAGAGTTCATTCGAAAAGCGGTCACCACCAAAAATAACATGCTGAATAATCAGTCTCAGTAGACGTATTGATTTTTTAATAAAATCAAATAAAAGTTGAAAATCTTCAACGCTTTCAATATGTTGTAAATTAGCATTGTCACGTAAATGCTTATCAATTAAATGTACGCAGCTATACTTAGTTGCAAAAGACTGTATGAAAGCTAGAGATGTCAAACGGCTGCTCGTATCAGGCAGTTGAATAGATTGGATTGAATATATTAATTCTTGATAAATATTTTGAACAGTAATTGATGAAAATACTTCTTGATATGGTTTAATAAAGGTCTGCATTTGCTGAATAACTGTCAGCCAAACATCATCGCTATTTAGATTTCCTCTAGTAAGAGCTTCGAATTCTGATTCCATTCGAATGATTTGTTGGTGGATGAAGGCTGGCAATGGTTTTCGTTCGAATGTGTTATGCTTGACAAATTGTTTAAGTTGATTGTAAATTATTGTTGTTTGATCATAAATATCATTTGTCGTTATTTTTGTTGCCATATTTGTTGGTTCATGTAAATATAAAAGACATCCAAATCCAAATGCTTTTGGATCATTGTCCGATAGAGTTCCATCGATATAAGGAAATTGTTCTTGCAAAATAGTAATTTTAATTCCTTCCGGTAAGTTGTCTGTTAAAATATCGTTTAGTTCATAAATGTCAATATTTTGTTGTAAACTAAACATATGAATTGATATTGAACGGGATTCATTTTTAATCGAAAGAAGACAGCAATTGAACGGTTGTTTACTAGGACAATATATAATTAAATCTAGTGAATTAATTGTACGAATATCAAGTTGATTTTGAAAATGTTTCCAATCAGAGATAATATGCAATCGGTGGCCATGATAGAAACGTGGATAGGTAAAAAATCCGCATAGAAAAAGTATTAATGGCGCTTCAAGTATGTCATCGTGTTCAATTAATTGACGACCGAAAGGTGTTGCAAGAACGGCGCGCAGATCGAGTTGACCATCGAGGTTGATTAAACTGGGGTTTCGATGGGCGTTGAGTAGGATTTGACAAAATTCATTAAATCGCTTCGCATCCGATTGTTCGAATCGATCATGAACAAACTGAAAAGCAGTAGATGTTCGTAGTTTTTGCATTTCTTCAGAAAATTTTGAGCGTGAAGCTAATGCTTTATCAATTGCAGCTGTTCGAGACTTTTCAACACGAGATAATTGGTCAAACAATTGATTTACTTCGGTTCTTCGTTGAGATAATTCCCGAGTTGCTTCTTCGAATCGCACTTGCTGATCATTGTCTTCTGCACGGAATAAAGAAACATTACGCTGCAGTCGAGCTCGAGTATTTATCAAGTGACTTTCTGTTGCCGGCATTGTATGTGTGTTATCTGTTTGTAAATTTTCTTGAGACAAGCTTTCAACACGATTTCTAAATTGTTGAACATTTTCTTCGCATTTGTCCAATTCATTTTGTTTTGTTGCAAAATCTTTCTTTAATCGTAAATAGTCGTTGTTCATTGTGCTTGATTCTAGCGGAAATTCCTGAATAACTTGTAGAATCATTGTTGATAGAATCTTACATAATTCCCAACAACAAAATTTCACTTCACATTCAACGATGAAATCATGTGTTATACAAACATTTCGTTGTAAAACTTGTCGAACACTAGGCGATAAATATTCATCAAATGTCCATCGAAGACCTATCCATTCTAAAAGTGTCGAAAAATACTGTATTGGCTCGAGATTCGATTTTGATTGATCTTTTCGAATGAACTCGACCAATTTCCGAAGATCTTTTCTTGATGTTCGAATCGGAAATGTTTGTGCGCGTTCAAATGACCAAATAAGGCCGCTATCGAAATTGGTAAACATATGCGTACGAAATTGTTGCTTAGCTTCTAGGAATGATGGATCATGAAAGAGTTCGAAGGTTGAACATTTGTCTTTGAATGATAAGAGAGGTCGAAGATATTTAGTCATGTGTGAACATAGATTTGTTAGTTGAGTCTCTCGATTGAATAAACCAAATATAGAAGAAGTGAAAAATTGATTAAATGTTTCAATAATTGAAATGGTTCGTTGAATAAATGATAAGCGCTCATGCGTGTCACTAAAAGATGTTTGACCAATGAAATGTTCTAATAGATCAGTCAATTCAAGACATAGTAATTCGAATGACGATGATTCGTTTGTGAGAAATTCTTGAATGAAAGTTGCAATATTCATCGATCGTTGCACTTCTGAACGAGGCGTGATTTGTTTATGCTGTATTAATTCAAGTAAAATTTTTGATAAATTCAATTGATTATCATTCTCATTAGTCAATATTTGTTTGAGTTGAATGAGTTGCGCATCGGTAGGTGTCATCAATAGAAGAATATTATCGATAAATAATATGAGCAGATCTCGCGTTAGTTTATTCAATTTTTCATTATTAACAAGTAATTGAATCAAATTTAAGATTAATTCAATAAGATATCGTTCAAATTGAATAAAATGAGAACGAATCGGTTGTGTTTGTTGAAGCCAAAGTGGCTGCTTCTCATCACATGGATCTGCTGGTGTTGAATAAATTGTTGATGTCGAGCAAAGATGAAGACTATCGATTGTTTGTTGAAGTTTTTCAAGATAAAATTGATATTCTGATAAATCTTTCAATGATGAACAATAGGATCGCAATAACGACCAATAGCAAGCGTCAACTGGATTGATATTTTGATCAACCAAATAACGTAAAGTACGAATGCATTGTTCAAGAAGGCGATAAGTAACAAGAAAATCACTCGGATAAGTTAAACGGCCATCTTTTACATATTGTTTAACATTGAGATGCATCAAAATTAATAAATGCGTCAATTGTTTACCAGCTGGAATTGTTGATAATTGTGTGGCAATTAATTCATACAAATCACTACTAGTCGGATCATTTCCGTTTGCCATATCCCATTGATCAATGGGTGGCAAACAAATACGTATGACTCGATTAAGAAACGCCGATGAAAGTTTATTTGAATAGATTCGATTGAGATTGGCTGTTGTAAACAGACGAAAATTTGGATTTATTCCATCGGATTGTGTTAAAACTTGACCATCAGAATTTTCATATAACGATAACATTGGATTATCTTCTGTTAGAGAATTTAATCGTTCAAGTACTTCAGAAGGTGCACTATTGATGTTGTCCAGAAGAACCCACCAACCTTCGCGAATAGCTTGAACGAATTCTGATTCAACGAAGATGAAACCAATTTCTTGTTTTTCATTTAAACGAATATGTTCCAGTTTATTGACATAGTAATCAGATTGACGAGCATAACATGATAGAAGTAGTTTGATTTCATTAGACATTTGACTGATTTTAGTCAATGTTGTTAATAGTGTAACAGTTTTTTTAAGAGCTTCGATTTCATAAGGAATTGTCTCATAACGAGTTGCGCCTGGAACAGTTGTTCGTTTAAGAAGAATATCTTTAAATTCGTTGAATACATGTTCATTACTGTCTTTTGATAACAATGGCATAAGAAGAAGAAAGAGGGTTTTTATCACTTGTTTGAACATAGTATCGATTTTGTTAAATAGAGGATTATTGCATTCATGGTCACTACTAGGTCTCCACGAACCAATTAAATCTGTTGTTTCAAAATTTTCATGTAGTGGAATAATGATGAGGCGATTACGGGTTAAACGTGCAAGTTCCATCACAAGTGACGATTTACGAGAACAAATATCACCTTCAAGAAGGATAGCTCGTCGTGATTGACATGCAGCAGCAAGTAATTCCAATTGACGAACAGTTTTCTTCGTATGAATAAGACCAATATCGATTGGCGATGGTTCTTCTCGGCCAGCTCCTACATAAATCGAACCAATACGTACAACAGTGGCCACACTTGTATCAATTGAAAAGTCATTTTCAAGTTTACTCAAAACTGCATTGATCGGAAATTTTGAATTGATCAAATCGCATGCTTGAACGAAATCATTTTGATCTTGAAATTGACATGCGTAAACAACTTGAGCAAATTTGCGAATCGATAAAAATCGCGCATCAGAAGCGCCTATACTTGAATTCAACTCTTCTTTTGTCCTATTTTCTTCGTTATCATCATCACCAGTGTTCATATGCTGATAATGAAACAATTGACTTTCGATAGAGCCACGAAATACATCACGAAATTTGGAAAGGTCACGTAAGTTTAATTCATATGGGCCACCTGTTCGTCCAAGATTACCTTGTCGTACTAGTACTTTTAGTGATATGTGAGTGTCGAATAAGGCATCGAGTTGATCCATATTGATATTGTTTTCTTTCAAATCATGAGCAAATAATCGTACAAGAATCATACGTAATTCATTTTCTGAATAATCATCGAGTTGAACAATACTAAATAGATTACTAATTGAACGGGGTAATTTACTTCGGCCACCACCGATTGTTGACGGATTCATCGTAGCAAATAGACGAATATTTTTCACTTCGACTATTTCGCCTGTTGTCGGTACAGTAAAATGTGTTGCACCACGATAGAATAGTGGCGTAAGACCTTCCAGCACTTCCGGTGCAGCTAAATTGAGTTCATCAAAAAGAATCCATTTGTTAGCTTTGATTGCTGACAAAACTCGTCCTTCTTGCCATTGAAAAATACGTATGCCATTGACAAATCGAGGAATAATACAACCAATCAACTGATCAAGCGAAGTATTTGCTGATAAGTTGATTCGTTCGCATTGCTTGTTAAGTAATGAACAAACTTGAATAACAACTTGAGTCTTTCCGATTCCTGGTGGACCTTCGAGTAATAATGGTGTGTTTGACGAAGTTGCCGCGAATATGCGCGCAATTTGATTGATCATTGTTGATGTTGGAACGCAATAGAAACGTTTACGTAATTCGTTTAATTGCATTCCTTGATTCTGTTCATCAATCTTTTCATAGGAATATCGAACGCCTGTATAACGTAATGCTATATATCCAGGCCCAATATCGAATGGAACCTGTGCGTCTTCATTTATTTCATTAGCTTTAATTAATTCGAAAGTTATCGCACCATGTAACGCTGTTGGCGCTTTGAAAATATCATCATATTCATGATACAGATCGTTTCTTAATGAGCTTTTGCGCCATTCTTCAAACAGAAAAGCATGCTGTGATAAAGGCAATTGATCGAAATAGAAGAAACGAGCACCAAGAAAGACACGGTTTACAAGTGATAACGATGTATGATGGCTTGTAATGAAATCAGTCCAACGAAACAATAGTTGAATGTCATTGTTTAATTTCCATTCTGAATCATCGCGTAGTTTTTGCCGTAATGAAAACATTAAGCCAACAATAGAATCGACTTGATTGAGATGTACGTGTCTTTTTAGTAATTCTGTTTTCACAAGTGTTTGAAGATCTTTTTCAGTATAAGCTGGGACATAGATCTCTGTAAAACGCGAACGCGTTGCTGGACTTAATTTAAGTACTTGATGAACTTGATCTTGATGAACGCTGGCAAAGATTTGAAATTGACTCGATAGTGTTATGTCGAGTTGACCTTTCTCCGCATGACTTGTTATATCTTCAGTGAGTGCAAAGCTAGGAGTCGGTTCGAGCATCGAATTCAATCGTTCAATGACTGCTTGATTTGGCAGATCGAGATCTTCAAGAAAAAGAATACCGCCCTGTTTTGCTGTCATAGTTACTGGCCCATCATTGTAGAGAAATATTGGTTTTCTTCGATCAAAATTACGAGATGTTAAACGGTCCCAAACATCGATAAATTTCGATTGATAATCACGCAATGTCATATCTTTTGTTGTAAACGAAGCATAATGTGCATGTTGAAGCATGGCTTTGAAATGATCACGAATGGTGTCAATGGCAATCGATAGTGATTCGGGAAATTCAGTTTCGTGGAGTGACTTCGGAGATTTCATGGGTGGAACTGTTGGTTCCATGGTTGTATTTGGATTAATCACATCCGAAAAGCCGTCATCGAGAATAATCGATTGTAATTCTATGTTTACTTTGTTCTTCGGTTCAGATACGATTTCAGATTTTTCTACATGAATAAGCACATCGAAACCATCATCTAATTCAAAAACAGGTTCTGTCGATGTAATGTCTGATGTTGAAGTAGGTATTGGTTGATCAAAACCATCATCAACGTATGTTAATGATGTAGTGGTGTTCGCTGGAGTTGTTAATTGTGGAACATTGAAGTCCTCACCATAGTTACTAAAACCATCATCGATCATTATATATGAATCATCTGACTCGGAATAGGTTGGTTCCATATCTGGTTGATAGGTAAGATCGTAAGAATCATCAACTTGATAAAAACTTGAGAACGATGTATTCGCTATTGATCTCGATGAAGATGAATGGCCTGCTAAATTTGTGGTAGGCTCTGGTTCGTTCTCATGATCACCACGAAGCTCGGAAGATGAGGATGGTATTAATATTGCTTCGGCTTCCGTACGAAATGCTGTTAAGTTATCATGAAGTTCATCCTTTTGTTTTCGGCGGTCTTCATCACGTGTGTAAGCTACTTCAAATTGTCGTATAGCTTCGGGAAGTTGCTTGTTAATGAGATCGAGGATAGGTTGGACAAATATTTCATCCCTAGTTGCTACTTCTCCTGTTGTACTGTGGTGTCGGCAAAGACTTCTAAATCGAAGATAAACTCGCTCAGCCATTATAGGTAATCGTTTGAGTAGATCAAGAAAAGAATAAGGTTGAATTTCGCCAATTAGATCATTAGCTTCTGTGTCCGGTGTTAAATGTACCTTAGTGAGTTCGAGTGATCGGTTTGAAAGCCGTGCCCATGTTTCTACGAGTAATGTTTTGCATGAAGTTGGTCCGATTAGAAGAACAGGTTCTTTTGCGTAAATGGCGAGAGAAAGACGAATAAGTGAACGATGAAAACTGTCGGGTGATGTGAGTACTAGACTATCGGCAAGTGTCATATTGGGTACATCAATATAAAGTGGTCCTTCTCGAAAACGAACTTGTCCATTGATTTCCTTAATTTCGATTTGTGGGTTTGGTGACAGAGAAATTTGTCGCCATGTTGATTGAAGATCATTGAGAAGTGTTTCACGTATTGTAGAATCCAATGAGTATTTAGCACCTAACAGTGAAGCACCGACAATAGGCCAAAGATCTTTTTGAGGAGAAAACAGAGCATGTCGATGAAGCCATTTGACTAATTCACGAAATGTAATACGTGATCGAGTATTAACAACTCGATGATAAAAACTGGCTAGTTGCTGAGTCGATGCATTGGTTAAACAAGATGGTTTCTTTTTCCCAATTTCATCACGTTTTTTAATAATTTCTGATAATTCATTCTCAGGAAATTCACCAAATTGTACTTCAAGAAAACGATTACGCAATGATACTGGTAGCTGGTGTCGATTGGCATATGAAGCATCATTTTGAGTTGCAAAAAATTGAAAGCCAGATTTGGCGTTAATTATCTTACCACTTGATGGTATAGTGATGGAATTTTTTCCTTCAAGTAATGGGAAGAGCATGTTCATGACTGATGGATCGGCTAAATTGAATTCATCTGCAAGAAACCACCAGCCATTTTCCATAGCTCTATAGAGAGCTCCTTTCTGGAAAGCAAAACCATCATTTACAGGTAAAAATGCGCCGAGGTAGTCCTGAATAGTTGTTGTATCGTTATTGTTAACTCGTTCGAGTCGATTTGGCGTGCTCGAAAGATTATTCAGTGACTGTGGTTTCATATGTTTGCATAAGTAGGAAATCAGTGCTGTTTTACCGACAGCTGCAGGTCCTTCGAGTAGCAGAGGAATATTACATGCAACAGCACCCAATATGGCATTGGCATAGTTAAGTCGACTTTCAGTTAAGATATGCTCCATACTTTCGTTAACCCAATCGGTAAATTTTGGTTGCTGCAGTTTGATTGGCGACTTTTGTGTCTCAAGAAGTCGTTTAACGTGATTATTTAATTCGGTTCGAAGTTCGGCGCCTTTAATTTGATTAGCAATTGTCACATTGTAGGCTGTCCATAAGCTCGAGATGAAATCAAGTGTAGATTTGAATCTTAAACGAAGAAGATGAGTACTATCGAGTAATCGAATGATATTACGTAAAGTAAATTTTGGAAAGTTCTTGGTATTATTTTTATAAAATGAGAAAATTATTTCGCATAATTTAATCACCAATTGATGATCGACATCAGATTCATCAGACAGTAGTGCTTTGGCGATCATTTTCAACTCATCGGAATCATGAGTAATATCAAATGTTAGATCTTGCATATGGATTACAGCAAAACGATTGTAGAGTGCTGGCGATAGTTCATTTCCTGAGCCAGTCAAGTTCATTTGTAATTGCTGTCGAGTATCAGGTGGTGTCATTGTAGCCACAAGTTGATAATTCTCATGCATAATTTGTTCATCAACATCACCTTTTTCAGTTAATATCAACATCGGTTTCTGTTCGAGAACAGGATTGAGCCTTTCGAGTACCGATGATTCAGCTGTGCCAAGATTATCGAGAAGTACCCATTGACCATTGGTATAAGCTTGTGTGACACATCCATTCTGCCAAATCAATGTCTTACCATAATTAGGGCCACTTTCATCTTTATCGTCGTTTGGAACAAGTTGACCAACAAGAGCTGATGGCTCTGTTTCAGGAGTTATATTCAATTGATGTACGCGTTGACCACAAAACGAGGCAAGTGTTAGTAGAAGTTCTGATTTGCCACATCCTTCAGCACCAGTAATAAGTATTGGTTGTTTGATATTCATATTGAAACATACTTGTTTGAGAGTTGATAACACTCGATCAGTGAGTACATAAGGCATTTCTGGTCGTACAAAAACGTCATCGAAATTCATCTTTTGTTTCAAATCCGAGTTTTTGAATATTTCATAGAAACACGTCCGAATTGTTTCTTGTGCTTTGCTATGACGAAAACGGCATTGGTACATTTTACAGCCATGAAGTACAAAATCTTTACGTTTTCCAAGAATATTTAATTGAGCGGCTGAGATGATCCAATCCCAGAGCCAAGACTGATCGATTCGATAGATACCATGTAAACGAATAAATTCATTAGTCATCAAGGCTTCATGAACTTTTAGATGTGTTTGAACAGCTATATTCCATAGATTTGAATCAAAATCAACAATTTCCATATTCGCTGTAGAAAACATAGATGCCCATTCTTTTATTGGATCGTTAATATCTAATTCGAATCGAATCGGATGACGAACATCATCAAAATACACACATTTTTCAACATGATTAACAATCATTTTAATGTTTTTCAAGGCTGGACATCCCCAACCACCGCGACCATTATCAGTCAAGATATTCTCGACGAGACGACGACCTGTAGCACGATATCGGGCACCATACACACACCAAGCACTAAAACTAAGTAAAGCAGCACGAATAGTGGTGTCTTGAGACCACAGAGGATTCTGTTTTTGCCAGCATAGTAGTAATTCTACCCATTTGAGAAGTTCACGAATTGAAATTTCGGCATAGGGACCCGCCTCAATCAATGTCTGTGTAGAATCATGTAATGCTGCTTTGATATTGGCATTGAAATTCGATACTAATAATTCGGCTAATACGTCTGCTTGGTCGGGCATTAAGGTAGAGAGTCGTTTTTTAACAATTTCACGCCATTCACTATCGGGTAATTCTTTGAATATAAGTGGACGAAAACGGCTGAGAAATGATGGAGATAATTTTTCTCGTTTGCCTTTGAAAAAGCCTGTATTTGGATTTTGCGTTGCGAACAATCGAAAATCTGGATGCATTCGATGAACAACCACTGATTGTTGAGCTGAACTCATGTTGTGGATGATTAATTGCCGCGTATCAAGAGCCGATTCGATAGCTTGGAGTACAGTATCTTGAGCAAGATTGAGTTCATCAAACAATATCCAATAGCCGCGTGCAAATGCTATTGTAAATGGTCCATCAACAAATTGTAATCGAGTTGTTTGAGATAGTTCATCGAGTGCGAGTGCTACTTTACCAAGTAGATCATCGATTGTAACACGTGACGACATGTTGTAACGAATAAGGTTATGTCCCGATTGATGAGCTGCTTCCATGACACTAGCACTCTTGCCTACACCAGTGCTACCTTCAAGTAGGATCGGAATTGGATCATGAAGTACTTCAAGTACTTTAGATACGTTCTCGCGTGCTGTATCAGTTAGAACAAGTCGATCTCGTTGTTCTTGATCGTTGACGATAAGTGTTTTTGAAGACATATCAGGCAAATGAGCACGTAGAATCTGATCAATTTTGTTCGATTGGATTCTGTTTAAACTTTTCAAAAGTTCCCGTCCATTGAGAAAATCTTGATGTTTTATACGAACGACATCAGATACTTTCGATTGTGCAGTACTGAAGAATACTATTTGCTGTTGTTGCTGTTGAGTGTTATTGCCGAATTCACTGGTGTCGTCCATAGTTGAATCAATTTGAACGTTATCCATTAATACAGAACGTTCGTTCGATGACAAATCCAAAATTTCAGCAAGTAAAATAATGCCAGCTTTCTTTAACAAACTCGTACGACCCAATAGGCCCATAATATCTGGAATGAACGATGAGAGTAGTTGAATCAATGTACTACGTGACCGTGGCTTGACAATATCTTCGCTGAGACTATGCAAATGAAACGCACTTGAACCAGTATCATCATCAGTCATTTCATCAATGCTTTTAAATAAAAGCTGAATAAGTTGTTCTGAACTCAAATTAATATCGAGTGCGTTCATTTCATCGCTATTCTTAATTGAAGTAATAAATAAAATAATATGAGCCAGAGGGCTATGACCTTCGAAATTGGTTGAAATTAATGTAAAAGAATATTCATTAAGAAAAAATTTAGCAATATCTTTGCCGTGTTGGTTATATTTTGAATAGCCGATATCAATGAGTAATTCAATAAGTCGAATGATGATCGACGGAAGAGTAGTCTTAGATAACCACGACTGTACGATACAATGAAGATCATCTGATCGAAACAGATATTTTTGTGTTTGAATACTCTTAACTAATGATTCAAGTATTGTTAATAAGGTTGGAATATATTGATTGGCTAACTCGAATTGAATACATCGATGAACTTGCTGTACTTGAATTTCATTGATATGTTGTATGTAAGTTGCAAGTGTCGTAGTTGGACAAAGAGAATGTTCGATAAGTTCAAAACATATTGCATCGGCAGGATGATTTATCAAAAGATCAAACCAGTGCTGTAGTAGATTATGTTCGGTAAACATGCTCAAATATTTCAAAATACACATCAGAGCTGAACGATGGCTACTCCTATCATCGATCGTATTTTTATCACCGATCATCAAATCAACATACCACATCAACGTATTCTGATCAATTTTCTTAATAGCTCCAGTTAAACCTTCTTTATAATAGTTTGGCAGTAAATCATTAAGAAGTAAGATGAAACATGGATGACCGCGTACATTTTGTGCTGGTGTATTGGCGCAGATACGTTCAGTCAATTGTTCAATGAGTGCATCTGAATTATTTGTCTTGCGATCAATAAGTATTTGCACAAGTTGAACAATACGACACCGCATTGATTTAATTAGATCCTCATTCGGCAACGTTGGCCATATTTCAAATAGATGATCAAGTATAAATTTATTTAGTTGATTCTCATATCCGACCATATCAACTTCAAATAAACGTTCGAAAAGATATTCACTAATATCCTCGTCAAAGTAAACTAAGGCCTTGACATAACGATATAGACGTTGCCAAGCTAAGAAGACATGATCAGCTCTGAATAGACTTGTTTGTATACTGGTAAGTAAACTCATCAATTGATCTTTCCCATCACAGATACCCAATGCTCGATGAACAAGATTATCGATACGTTCGCGAACATTTACTATGCCATCACTGCATACATCTTCGCGGCCGTCTGTCCATCGCACTGTAATCGGTTGTCTTGATAAATAAGCTGTTTGACCAGGAGCATCAGTTTTAGCGCGTGGATCTTGGCTAACCACTACTGTTTCAATTAACAATGGATCAAAGTAAAGACGCCACAACGATTCAAAATGTGCCGGTTGAACTAGATAACGCTGCATATCATCAGCGCCGTTCTCATTATAATTGAGACATGCAGTAAGTAATTCAATCAAGGCATTCATTTCTTTTCCAGTACATCGAGCAAATTTAAATAAACGAATCAGGTGAAGTAGATGCAAACGCTTTTGAGTATCATCTTTTCGGCTAATTAGAAAAATATATAATGATTATATTGATTCGAAATTGTCTTCCTAAATCGGTCTGACTGCAATGACATTGCAGTTGTGATGAACAAAAATTATTCGATATAGATTTATATTAAACTGAATGTATAGAACGAACTTTCTCGAAAAAAAAGGATGTTCAAAATCGCTTAATTGATGATTTGGAACACTTTTTTTTGTCACAGATTATAGACGAGCCGGCTAACTGATTTTTAGCGGTAACCGCGGTAAATTCCGGTAAATTTTCACTGATGGGAGCCGGTAACCTGACCGGGAAAACCGCTGATTTTCATGCGGTTTTTGTTACATGGGAAGAGCTCAACTTTTGTACGGTATACGTTGAAAACTGTTCATTAAACGTCTTTCAGATACATTTGAACAATGGAAATCTACCTAGATATATTCAATAGATTGATATGCTAATTTATCGTCTATGATATATATGCATTGCTTAATAATTTATGAATTCTGCTTTTATAATCTTATAACTAAAGTAGTTCGTTAAAAAGCACTTACCTCTGCATAAGCCGACCTTCTACTTGTTGCATGACGATAATACGTCGTTCACGAACTAATTCGAGCAAACCTCGAGATGGAGCCTGGTTCGGTTTCACTGTTAACCACCATTGCATAAGTTTCACCATCTTCATAGCCAAGGTCTATACATATAAAACATTTCAAAATCATCACTCACTTCTTACATTAAACATCATTTTATTCTGTCGAAGCAAGTGGAGAAAAAGTGATGCATTAGTTCAAACGATCGCGGACAACTACGAATTTCAACTTAGTCTTTCTCACACTATCTATTTAAGTATGAATTTTATCTATTTCTAGCTGGACATAATGCCACTTACGATTCAAGCATTTTAAACTAAATAGATCGTTGATCGAAAGACATGAAAAAATGGTAGTAAAATATTAATCGAACTATGGTAAATTTATGTGAAGTGATAACATTAGGTTATTTTATTTAATCAGATTTCATCTGAAATATATTGTTGTTTCTTGAATTTAATTTGTTTTTAATCAGTAATGTAATTAGCATAGAACTGGTTTTAGTATCCTTATGATAAAATAGATGAATAATAAAATCAAAGAATAGGAGAGAACAATTATGATGTACTGAACATCAACTCATAATGCAACCTAGAGTTTTATATCAATTCATTTCTGTAATAAATAGGCGTGATCATTTTCATGCTTGATTCTAGTGAATTAATCATCAAATGAATTCGAATTTTTTTATGCTTCATTATTCATAAAAGGCAGATTTCTTAATGAATAGACAATTTACTTTCTCGAAATCATCTTTTTTCATATACATGAATCGATCGAAAAACTTAAACAAAGCTTGAAGGAATCATAATTTTGATATTCAACAAAATTAGATAGATTATCAGGCATCAATTTTAATAATGAAGATTGACTAAGTTAAAGAACTATTTTAATTTCAAGATTTTCATCATTATTAATCAATCATTCGTATTGCACAGTGTATACTAGCGACTTCATAGTGTTGACATAATCTCTAAGCTAATTATATACGAATAAGATATGTACTTTGCACGATTTCTTATAAGAAAAAATGTGGAAGATTATACGAAATATCTGCACATAATTATTTATACACAAAAAAAATATATATTAGCATAAGGCATTGGGTACTTGAATGAAGCAATATTTCGTATTATTCAGGCACCGCTTAGGGATAAAATCACGGACAAATACATACAATAGTGTACTTAGAAAGACTTTTCATGCAAAATAAACAACAAAAAGTTATGTTAAATGGAATTCTTTATTATGAAAAATCAACTATAATGATACTATTAAAATCTGCTTTTTTTACTGAAAAAGAAGAATTTTATTTGATTATTTAATACTTTCAACTGAAAAGTTAATGTTGTTTGAAGCTTAAATTCATTTAGCATGTTCTAACGATAGTTATAACTCCATTGTAGTTGACTTCAGCATCGAGTATCTATATTCGATTGATCTTACAATGATTTTCTCATATAGACATATGTACGCTTATATGGATTTCTAACTGAATTACTTTGAAACATCTATCAAATAGTATGATTAGTTAATATACCTGGGATCCATGATCAAGTGTTCGTGCGCCAAATGGATAAAAAATGTAGCGAAGAACATCAGCAGTCATGTCCATATTAGGTAATCGGTGTACATTGTCGACAAGACGATCGATGAGCACCTGGACGAGTTTTACTTCGCCCTGTTGATCGAGCACTTGTGCTAATGCAACTTTCAATTGATTGCATGTTTCGACGATGTTAATCGTCGGTGTTGCTGTATTTTGTGCCACTGTTTTCTAATACCAATTATAACATATTTAAAAGGAAGTATATCTATAAATTGAAATATAAATGATCATGATCTATTCAAATAAAACTCCTCTAATAAGTAAATAAAATATCCTATTCGACACAATATAAATTTAAAATCTTCTATCTAATTAGGAAAAGTATTTCTCAGCAATATATGACACCAAGGGTGTGGGTTGTGGGTGTGGGTGTTGTTTAAAACAAGATGATGCCCTACATCCACACAACCGACAGTCAAACCCACAGTCACAGCCACACCCTCAGGAATACCAATGGCGATCTGTGGAAGGCTATTAGCAATCTCAGGTATGCTCTTAACTATCTCACAAAAGATGGAAGGACACCCAAGAATGCTTCACGCTATCTTATGTACGCCATGGCATTCCCCTTTCCAGTTGTAGCAAATTCAGGTGTGATCGTAGGATACTCATTGGAGATAGGAAAGTCATTAGCTGCGATAAGTATAACTTTTGTTACTTGGCAAGAGTTTTAGCATAACTCACATTTGTGGGTGCCGCGAAGTGTTTGTCGCGGGTGTGAGTCGACTTGTATGGATTTTTATGTTTGAATTATAAAATTTATAAATAGAATAAATTTTATCTTCATATTTTTCCAGTGCACAATAGGATTTGCGGAAAATTTTATTTATTTTCGAGGTCGAATTAGACAGCTACTCATAGAGAAGCAAAAAAAACGTTGAAAAATAAGCAGATAATAAAAGTACCTGTCGTATAAACGAGGCTTTATAATCGAATGAATACGCGCGAAGATGAATCAAGGTATTTTTTTCTTGTTCGTTTATTTTCATTCGATGTGTATCTATAATCGAGAATAGCGAGGGAAAAAAACAAAAAAATTGTTTTTCTTTTTCTTTTAGTGTTTTGATGCAATATGGAGTATCCTTCACAATTGAGGGAAATAAAGTTAATCATTACATACAATACCTTATTTCATTATAATCTGCAGAATAAATCTTTACTTCAATATTTGAATTTTTCCATTATTCGTTTCGTGTTTCAGTTGCCAATAAAAAGACATTTTGATCATGAAAGTATGCATACTATCATCTTATTGATGGAGGATGTTGTTTTGCGTTTTCTATTTCTTTTCTTTTCTTTTCAGATTCAAAGATAAAATATTATTCCATTGAATAAAAGCCTATTTTTGTTCCTTCTGGTGAGTAATACCAACTTCGTCGTAATATTTCTTGAAAAGTAAACATAAAATTAAAATAAAACTGTACTCTACTCCACTAACTTCGGAGGAAAAATGCTTGAATGTTTTAATTATAAGTTGATCTTTTATTCGATTAGAGACATAAATGCACCCTGTACATGTTCGAAGATGTGAAAAAATCTTGAAGTTCCAATAAGAAGTATCAAAGACTTGATTCATTTGAAACTTACAATCCATCAATACACCGGTGATTTTATCAGGTTTTAACCTGAAGCAAAACAGTCAATATAACAATTTTATACTCGTAGAATAGCTTGCATGAAATGATAAAAAATATCGTTGGCAAAAACCCTTCTGCATTACTACCGAGAGAGATGCGTTATAAAAGAAAACAATGTAAAAGATTTGCAGAGAGAAGATAAGCACATTGAATAAATTACGTTGACATTCGTCTCTCATCTTACTTTCACATGCTTGAATCAACCGGGGGAGGGGGACAACTACTTGACTGATAAGTTTTTTTTTCTTTTCTCTATAGTGTGACGACTAGCGTTGAGTTAATGGTTTATTTCATGCTTGCATTTTCTGTGCATGATGAGACTATTATAATTCATTGGTTTAGGTTTTTCTTACGTAACAAAGTATAATTTTTTGATGACAAATATATTTTTATTTTTAGCCATTTTATGTCTATTCACTTGCATTTAAAAGAAATTCCAACGTTAAGAAAATAAATAGTATGAATCACTACTTCTCAAATGAAATTCGTAAAATATCTGACCGTTATATAGTTTTATAAAGTCTATAAATGCTTAACCTAACAAAGATATTATGATATTAAGTATTTCGAAATTAACTTTATTTTCATAAGTAGCTTATCCTTCACATCCACTATACATCTCCTTCTATTGCTATTACTTTATGTCTTTATGATCGAAAAAACGATTCTAGTTGCTTTCGCGACACATAATTATTTGTTGAAACTGAAATGTGATTCTAGCCCTTCTTCTTGTAGATTTAAAATAAAATTACTTCGCCAATAACAGGCTTTTTTGGTTTTAGTATTTGAATTTGACTGCTTGATAGAATTTTGTTCAGATTTTATCTTTGAAACAAATGAACGTTCTTTTCTAGAATATTTTTTTGTTTCTAGATTTCTTCAAATATATGATTATAAAAAATAAGACTTAATAAAACTCTTTTTTTCTTGGGATATTATATGTAAACTAAATTGTTTTTTTTCTATGATAAGATCTGAACAAATTGCTTCAATTTAATTCTTGTTCTAGAACTTATTTTCTTTTGATTCTTTCTTTGGTGCGTGTGACGATTTTAGATAGAAGAGATGCCTGTGCTGATGGTATTACACTTTACTTAACTCTTCAAATCATAAATCGCATCGATTACATATAAATCACACGCTTAAATACTCAACCATTTGAGAGAACGAAGATGAATGATAAATAAAGACAAATATGAAGGACAGAAATATAAAGGTAATAGGTGCGACGAGAATAAATGCCACCATAAAATCAAATATTATGTATAGGTTACACTCGAACAAGACCATTACACCCCCGGATGGAATTCGGACGCTCTCCGCATATAACGTTACAGTGCGTATTGATAAATAAATATAAAATCTTATGTAAGTCGCCTATTGAACATCACTAGAGATAAGAAAATAGTAAAATTTGATGATTTAATTATTGCACAACGAGCGGAAATATTTAGAATTTTCTGAAGCATCGATATGCGGCTATGAATAACTACAATTCACACATAGATGGATCGACCGAAACAGATTTGATATATGAACTCTATACTCTGAGTGAGTTCAATACGCTTCATTTTAAAATGAATAATATGCCAAACAAACTACATTCTGATTGGAAAGTACTGAGGTCTGATTCAAATCTCTGATATTTTTCTTATAAATATCAGCAGTAGACTTCTCAAAAGCAAAAGACTTTTTACTATAATAGAGAATAATTAAAAATGATCCAATTATAAGACATTGTTTCTTTTTTTAGATTTCAACTCATTGTATTCGTATCTATCTTAGTACTACACCGTTTAAAAACTATGGAAGACTTTGACGAGGATGATTTTTTTCGTAATCGATCGCCTGATTATACGAAAGTACAAAATGATAAGCAAATGCTTACTGATCATTGTGCACTTGAACACGACAAACTTATTACTAATAAGAAAGGATTATATCAGGAAAAAATTGAACTTGGTAAAGTTAGTGAAACTCTTGCCAATGAGACTAATGCATTACTAACTGAATTGGAGGGGCATGCAGAAAAGATTGGTCAGCTAGAGAAAGAAACAACTAACATGTACGCTGAACAGTCCCAGTTAACGACATTAATTGGGCAGGAGCAGTCAAATTTGGAGTCTCATAAAGTGCAATCAGAGAATTATGAAAGAGAATTACGTCAACATGCAAACATCAAGAAAACGCTTGAATTAGAAGAAAAGCAACTTCGTGAACAATTAGCTGCGATGAAAGAGAAAACTGATGAGAATATTACAACTCAAAATAATTTACAAGTTTCACTAAAAGAGCTTCAAGACCAAATAGAGCGAACCAACCGTGAATTACAAGAACAAGAACGATTATTAACACAAGAAAATGAACAGCGACAAATATTAGAATCGAAATTGGAAGAACTCTTAGCAGAAATGCGTCAGATTGAGGAAAGGATTAAACAAATAACGACTGAATTAGAACAGCTAAAAGAAGAACAACGCATTCTTATTCTTCAACAGACAGATTTGAAGAAACAACAAGATCAATTAAATGCTACGATTGTTCAACTTGAGCGAATATTGAAAGAGAAAGAAGCTGGTATTGCTCGTCAACAGACACAAATTGATCGTATACAACAAAAAATTGAACAATTAGAAAAACAAATCGAAACTGTTCATCAAGAAATTCAAACATTAACCGAAGAACTTCAAGCTTTGCATGAAGAGTTAGCAAAAGCTGAAGCTCGGTTAAGTCAAATCGAAAATGAACGTAAACAACTTGAGGCAGAAAAACGCGCATTAGAACAAACATATAATACATTAGATGATCAACGTACCGACTATAATAATCAATTGAATGCTTTATTAGAAAAACTCCGAGTTACGGATGAATTAGTTACTCAAACACAAATAAAAGTAGCACAACTTGATCGTCTTCTCGAAAACCAAACGGCGCAAGTTGAACGTCTACAAAATGAGCACGATGCATTGGAGATAAAAGTAACTGAACTGACCGACCAATGTAGTCAATTGAATGAACAAAAAGAAGATGCACTTCGGCAACGGCAAGAAGCAGAAAACGATTTACGGGAAGCTCAACAACTGCTAAATCAACTTAAACAACAAGAAAGAGAAGCGCATGCACAAAGTATGCGAGCTGCTGGCGAACAAAGAACAGCTCTTGCTCAAATTAACGCTGCTGAAAACGAGCAACGTATTGCTGAAGAACAAGTTCGTGCAGCTGAAGTTCGATTAAAACAGGCCGCACATTCCCTATTTGTTAAACTTGTTTGGAAATGGGCATCGATGTTTATTCACGGTCTTGGTGATCTGGAAGCAGAGGAGAAAGCAGCCAAAGCTGCTCTACAACAAGCACGCGACAAACTCGAACAGAAGCGAACCGCTTGTAATGAAGCACGTCAAAGGCATGTAGCAGCTTCCGAGAGAGCTAAAGAATGCGCAACACTTCATCAAAACCAAGTGAGTGAACGTGCCGAACAGGAATCAGTTGTTTCAAGTAAGACAGAAACACTCAATCAATGTAAAAGCGATTTCGAACAAGTGAATATAGCTCATCGAAATGCCAATCGTGAACGTGCAAGAATGGAAGGTAATTTAAAAATGACAGTGACCAAATTACAACGTGCTCAAACTCAATTACAGTCAACCAACAATGATCTTCAAAGAACAAAAGCTGAACTCGTTGGTCATGAGCACCAAAAACAAGAATATACATCCAATGTTGATGCATTACGTCTTACCATTACACGCCATGAACGTGCAATCGAAGAACATCGGGTTTTGATGAGAGACAATCAAGTTGTGCTTGCAGATGTTATTGCAAATCACCAGAAACAGATGGGTGATGTTCAACGATTGAAAGGTCGAGTGGATCAAGTTCAAAGAAGTCTTGGTGAAAAAGTTAATGATGAAAAGTCTAGAGTACGTGAATTAAATAATCAAAAAATGATACTTGAAGCTGAGGAAAAAAATATGCAACAGCTACGAGATGACTTGGCGAATAAACAGACAGAATTGGTTTCTGTCAATAGAGAATTGTACACAACCACAGAGAGGTTGGTACATGTTGATGGTCAAATAAAAGACTTTCAAAAAGAGAAAGATAAACTTGATCAACAACTTAAAACCACTCGCCAAGAATTAATTAAAACAGAAAGCGCGCACCGTCAAGTTCGTCTAAACATTAAAAATCAGGGAAGTAAAGTTGAAAGCGTTCGCCAAAAATTTACTGTACTTCATACTAGAGAACAAAAGTTAAACGGCAAAATACAAGAAACAGATTTAAATCTTAAGAATAAGACCGATCAATTGGCAAATACTCAAAATACAATCAATACATTGACAGAACAATTAGAATCAACCCAGACACAGTATGCTAGAAGTCAAAATATACTTGAGACATCTAGCAACGAATATAAATTACTAGATACTCGCGTACGTGAACAAACTAATAAAATAGCTCAAGAAGAAAAATCTTTTCGTGAGACAACTAATCGTATTCGTCGTGCTAATGATAAATTCGCAGACAATGAAGGAGTTCGGGCTGAAACTTATCGCCGTATGGAACAGCTTGAAAAGACTATCACAGAACTCAAACAATACCATTATGATGAATACGTTAAATTTGAAATGAAAGGAAATCAACTCATCAATCGAGACCTAGAAGAAAAAGGTATTCTTCAACGAATACGAAATCCTAACGAAAATATTCAACCAAAACCAATCGAACCAAAGAAGAAACAACCTTCATGATCCAAATTATAATCTATAAAAAAACAAACATGAACTCTTTTGCTTGCTTCATCTTATTTTATCATATTTTAGCTAAGACTCTTCTTTTCTTCTGTTCAAACTATATGTCTTATCCGTTTTTTGTTTTCTAGACTACTACTGTAAGATGAGCCGAAGCACCAATAATGAATTCGGTTTCAAACGCCTGGAGTTTACTAATGATTTACCGATGACAACAATCACTTCAACGACTAATCAGCGTTCATCATCGGCGGCGGCAGCAGCACCTATTGAAGTTTTAAATGTTGCAGAAATTATTGTTAATCTCTATGTAAAATGCAACTATCCAGAACTAAATGATTTTGTTCGAGAATTACAAGAGCCCAATGAACATATGAAAATCAATGGACAATCTGTTTCGATACTTAACCTCTATGCACTTCTATCGACCAAGGATCCAATTGATATGAGTAATCAAACGAAACGAATGACGTATCGTCCTAATTTATTTGTACGTAAAAATGATATGTATGGACCTTGGAATTTTAAATATCTTCTTAGTCTATTCGAACTCGATTACCAATGTGCAACGGACAATGATGAATTCCCTAAAGTATGGAAAACAACAATGACAACCAAAGTTCATGTCAAAATTATATCAAATTTCGAACGTTCAGATGACACCAAAGAAACACAAGAACAATCTAAATCATCAGCTGAAGATATTACTCTCATTGGTCTACTTAAAACTATCTGTCTACAAAATAAATGTGACGAAAGTGATGCAAATATATGGTTAAAAGCTTTAAAAGGTAGTACATCTTATTCAGCGAAATGATATTTGATTGAGGGGATTGCTATTTAACGGTACTATTAAGTATATTTTACTAGAAACGCACGCCTAATTAAAAAGGAAATGAAACATTTCACTGTATGTATATACTTTGGTTTCATTGCGTTGCTCAATACTTACATCAAATCTATTCTATCTTGAAAAGCAGATCCCTTGCTTGATTCAAACATGAGACTATTTCTTTGTGTTTCAGAGGAAAACATCAGTACGATCGAGCATCTACGTTTGGCAACGGCTAATGAGACCACTTGGGAAAAAGTTGCTGCCGTGAAATACCTCGTCAAACAAATGATTCGTGATTATGTTCAATTGAATATGGCCTCTCAAAACGTCAATGAAATGAATGATCCATATAAAGATTCGAAAGCTACACTACTAGGTGATATTCATCGTGTCCGACGTTACTTTTATTATGTTAACGGTCAACTTAATCATTTGTCGTATCTCGATCGGCATGCAGTTAATCGTGCGATCGAAGAAATTCGTCTGACTTATGACGATGATGGTAACGTTCTTAATAATATACAAAATTATCTACGCACATTCTGTTTACACAATAGAAAACCTACGGAAACTGAACGTATTAAACAGCGGCAAGGTTGGACTGATGAATTGCGTAAACTCGAACAAAATATAAGCCAACGTCAGCAGCAAGTCAATAGGTTACATCGTCAAGCGGAAGAGGCCAGAAAATGTTTAGAAGACTGTAATTCGAACTATTTGAAATTAGTTCGAGAGGAAAAAAACGTTGAAGAAACAGCAAAGAAACTTATTGAAGAAGCTATCACTATGGCTGCTGCTCAATACAATAATAAAAGTTGGCAACAGAAACATGATCAAGGTCGTCAAATGCGAAGTGATTATTACGCTAAAAGACAAAGATTAGAGCGGGAACTTACCGAAAAACGTGAATCATATAACAAAGCTAAAAATAGTCACGTTTTGTCGGCCTCAGAAATTGAGAGTGATCAAAGGAAAATGCATTCGCTCAAAGAATTACTTGAACTCAAATTAGAAGATGAACATCGAAAATTGAACGTTAAATTTGGTCGTGGGTTATTACTCTATGGTCCACCTGGTACAGGTAAATAAGTAGCTGACTTTTTTCGAGGCTAAAATAAATGTACATCATTCGATATCAACGCTTGACTGTAATACTTATCCTTTTGGTATAAGTGAGTGTTATCTTGCTTTAGTAAAAATAGTTTATAACATTATTATGAATTCTTTATTTGGTATTAGTTTCCTTTTCTTTCTCGCAGGTAAATCAGAATTACTTAAACGCGCGGCTATCTTTGCTGGTATAACAATGACTACATCTCCATTGGCTGCTGGTGAACTTAATCGACCTTATGTGGGGGAAACAGAAAAATTACTCATCGATATTATGTACCGTGCTAATACTATACCTTATCTCATATGTGCAATGACAATAGATGAAATCGATGGTCTCGTACCTAAACGTGATAACAATGCTCAACAATCGAAAGTTGATGGAATCAGTGTTCTTCTATCACATATTGAAGGTGTCAAAAATATACCAAATTTGATTGTACTTGGTGCTACTAATCGACGAAATATGATGGATGAAGCATTTCTTCGACGTATGCAAGCTAAATGCTTCGTAGGACGACCATCACCACAGATTCGAAAAAAAATGCTTCGACCTCTATTATGTGAAAATTCGAATTCATTTACAAATGAACGACTTGATTTTCTCGTCAAAGTTAGTACGAATTTTAGTGGAGCAGCAGTTGGTGCACTCAAATCAAGTATTATCGTTGCGTTAGATGATGCTGATGAAAAATCAATAACTGATTTGACATTGCTCGAATTAGCAGATAATGTTGCACGTGAATTTAGTTGCTGGTTCGGTATTGGTACATTACCGGAAATAGGCCAAATATATCCAAATCTATTTCAAACACAAACAGATCATAAGTTAGAAGAATACTCGTTGAACCTACCAAAAACATCACCAACAGGTCGAATATTGGTTGATCTTAGAGAACGAAAATGTCTTATCGAATTATCGAATGAACTAACACTTGAAAAAGCACTCGATGATGGAGAAACATCTATGCTGACGCTAATTGCTCGTTTTGTTCATGGTTGTTCAACTCGAAATATCGATACTATTCAAATAATTGATCTTAATTTTCTTACCAAACAAAATGCTTTTGAAGAAAATCAAATATTTGAATTGTTGACAACAACATTTCTTGGTTTGTATTTTTATCTATCAAATAGATGAAAAGAAAACAAGTTTACCCTTGACTTTATCATATTTATTTTTATTTTTATATAGAATGTAATGAATACAATCGATCAATGCTTATATTTGATATTGACTCATTAGTTATGCTTACAGTATCAGACTCAGAAATGTCAAAATCTGAATCGATCTCTAATATTCGTTTGTATCAATTTATTCGAGAAAAATGTAAGACAGCTAAGATTGAACAAGTATCAACGAACAATGTAAGATATGTGCATTTTGTTCTTATGATGGCCCAAATTGAATTAATATACTTTAGAATGTCACTGTGATCAAAGAAAAATGGGTGGTTATTGTTGTTAAACATCCACTTTTACGACAACTTATTATTGATGATATAGAGTTTAAGAAAACAAGTCAACAATTACAAAAAGAAAACGATGATGAAAAGAAACGAATCGATGATGAAGTAGATAAAGTATGTCCAAAATGCCATCAAAATTATATTCCATCGAAGACCACTTATGGTAATTGTCGTTATCATGATGGTTTTATCTACGATCTTGAAGCAAATGTCCGACTGAGAAAGGATCAAGCTCAAGCTTTATTGCAAAATGCTAAATTAAAACAACATGGAAATTCTGAACAACTACCTAAACTAATGTGGGCTTGTTGTCTTGGTATCTATGGAAGTGACCCACCATGTCGAGTAGGAATGTGTGGTTTGCCCGAAGAATTGAAAGCCTCACACAGCCATGTTGCTGATCCGAGAGCGCTCGTTGAAGAATATTTCATGAATAATCAAGTTGCTGATGCTAAAATTAAGAAATTTTTGGAAACATTCAGAAAGACACCAAAAGGGAATAATACTGTAACTTCATCTAGTACTCTACCAAGTTCAAAAAAATGAACAAAAGCAGCTGTTTGATAAAGCCTATCTAGTATTCAATATGTAACATGTTTTACATAACTTTTCTATGAATTAATTTTTTGATAGCAAACATTTTTCAATATGTGTTCTTAATGTCGATATGAGACTGTCAAATACGTAGAGAATTGCAGACAATGGATCCCTGGTTAGTTAACATGGCGCACCTAACGTGTTAAGTTGCTTTTCTTCTCGACTTCAATGACCGTGACAAGATGAAACTATTTTCTGACGCTTAAAATAGAGTGTGGGTGTGGTAAATGGCAGCACTAACCCCAGACTCACACTCTACACAGATAACAGTTTTTTTTTAAAAACAACTGATTAATCAATCGAACTATAACAATTAAAGAAAATTCTCTACTTTTGTTTTTTTTCATTGTAAAGATAAAGTATTAGATAGTCTTTGGGCAATGACGAAAAGGGATCGTAATCTTTATTAAATAAAGGAAGAAAGGATTCTTTTCTTCTACCGAAAAGAGGACTGATCACATTCTAAGATTGCGGAACTCGTGTTTAGAAAAAAATTGGAAGGAAAAATCTCTTTTTATTCAAAGAGAAACATGTGAACTACAACTTCTGCAACAAGCATATTTTTCTAGAACGTATCTGAGAAGACAAATCTAAAACCAAAACAGCTCAAAATAGTGCTTGCAACGTTTTTACCGGTTGATGCATATAATCTTTCTAATTTCTATTAAGTACTCTAATGCCAGACAAAAGTGAGGAATATTGTCAACTATGATTTTTTGTAGTCTAATGAGTGCTCTTTAAAATCATGTATTGGATGTCAAATTTTTGCCAGTTATAATAGGAATAGATTGTTTCTTCTTTATCGAGACGCTTCATAGCGCTCGAATGTATTTATTGAACTGGTTTTTCAGCGAAGTTTCTATAATCTTATGTAATTATTCTGAATGAATATTGCAAAAAGAATTGACAGTTTTCGATCCGTTGTGTTTTGGTGCCTCCTGTTGTAAAAAATTAGTTCATATTGCTTTAAATATCCTGAAACACACACTTTCCAAGATTCAAAAAACGTTGAGAACGCTTTTTTCTCCTTATCAGATTCGTTTTAAAAAAAGTGTAACTGATACTAAATTTAAACTTCTGATATTCCTATGGGGACAGCTGTGACTGGAAATTTTAACAATTACTTTTACCCTGTAGGTTGCTTTGAGTCCCTTTTTACGTTTTCAGAAAGAAAAACAAGTGACACACTAGTTGTTATGCCCACAAACAAGGTTAGCAATAAAGATTGTTTTAAAAACTTTCAACCGGTGACACTCCAGTTTTTACCGACTCGGTTAACTTTTTGAACCAGTGCCATCTGATCGGATCAGTTTCAACGCTGATCTCTATATCAGATTGATATTGAATTTATACCTTTCTTATTTTTACGACAGAACATTTCAACTAATAATAATTGTCAACTAATTAATTGATTTTGATCTCATGGAGTTAGAAAGAACTTGGCTCTTTAAAAATTGTTCATAGCTTCATTAATTCAAATTGAATTAATCAACTGGTGACTTTAGTAGCTAAACAGCCACTGTTGAATCTTCGTTCAATAATCCGAATGTGAATTGAATACTGGTGAACATACTGGTGGAATTTTTTTATTATATACCAATGAGCAAAAGTTTTCATCTCTTTCTCGGATCTTAGTTTATATATGAACTAAAATTGTGAAAATTTAGATTCAATTTGTAATTTATTTGTACGCTAAACGAATGTGAGCCACTGGTTGACTCGATACTCAGATTTCTCAGAACACAATGGAGTTAAAATAGTTGTCGTCCGAAATCACTGTGAACCTCAGATATCATGAGCAGAAAAATCTTTTTAGTCAGTTAACCATTTATTTTGTATCTAACTATGAATTAAAATTAATTTTAAGATAATTTCTATTGAGCTACTCCTCAGAGAGATCATGTTTACTTATAAAAATCAGAGAGTACTATTGTACGCTGAATAACTCAGCAATATGCTGATAATTTCATTTAAGAGTTTTAGAAGATGCTCATATATAGTTGACTAGTACATCTTGTAAATTCAAAAGACGTTACTTTCCTAAACGAAAATGATGCATCGAACATCTTGGCGAATTTGTAAGAACCATTAGCTTTCCGTTAGGGAAACGGATAATCATACTTTTGAAAACAATGAAGATGTATGATGCGGAGTAAACCTAGATAATAAAAGATCGATAAATCCTTATGTATTACTATGAAAACAAAATATCAATTTATAAACACATGTTTTGATGATTTTCTGTTTAATTCCAAATCTATCATTTTGGTACTCATACATCCGCATGCAGTTTTATCTTGTATATGAATAACATGCATTATATCTTTCTTTGCAACCAATTTCTGATTTACTTTCGGACTTTATTTTAGTATTTTGAAATTCTAGTCTGTTCGATCATTGTTACATTGCATTTTATGCTGAGAAACAGGTGACAACTGTCATAAATCAACACCGTTCGTCGTGTTTTAGCAATTGAATTGAACAGCAATCTTTTCTGAAAAGAATAAAATTATAATATGAGTATCTAACTTATTTTATGTTCAACGATAGATTTCAACAGTTATGTAAATAGTAAACAGAGACTTTTTTTCGTCAATGGTGATGCCACTTTATGATAGTACCTACGAAACATTGTTTCCTTTACATCTAGAATTACATTATTCGATAATAAACAGTGATTAATAAGGCAGTTTTGGAACACAAATAATATCGTATGATGTCTTCTCTTGGTTTCTGAGGAAAATGAAAAAAATACTAGTTAGAACATGTAGGGCGTCTTGGCATAGATTAACTTAAGTTTTATCATCAATTCCCCTTTCAATCAAGGATTTATCCAGATCAATTACAGATTTTACATGAATTCAACTCCAACATTATATACGTATATATGTATCAAATGTGTCTCCATCTGTTCAATTAGAAAAAGAAATCAATCTATGAATAGTACAGGTTTACTTTTCATTTGTTTTCATCCAGTCGACCAGTCACATTTCGTCTATTCTTTATGTTTTTTTTGTTTAATTCGTCGTTTATCGTTTCATTGATTGTCTTCAATTATTGTACTTTTGTCTTCATTCGTTGTCGCTCTGTTTCATGTTCACATTGATTTTATTCCTCATATATGTTGGTTTAATTTCATTGTGAGATTTGTTCAATTCGTCATTCTTCCCCGGTCGAAGAAAACGATCAGTAAACAGTCGTATACGATACAAATACGGCCCGTTTTACGTGCCGTATTTTCCCCGTATAACAGGGGCAGTAATACGGCCGTATGTTCTATAGAATACGATAATATTACGCCGGCTTTACGAGGTTTTACGGCTGATATACGGTGCCCGTGTATGGCCGTAATACTGCCCCTGTTAAAACGCCTTAAAACGGCCGTTTCATGACGGAATACGATACAAAAACGACCTTTTACGGTAATGTTACGCCGGTTTACGGTGGTCCGTTTTGATCGACCTGGGTTGTTGTTCTACTCTCATTTTTTTCATTTCGTATTAATATTGCAATTCAATTCGAAATCTATATTTAATTATTCATATATAAAATGTCATTAGACAAAGTAACTATTAAATTAGTAATCGTGAATGTATTGATGTCCAGAAAGAAATTCGATGCTGCTTTAACAGTATGTATTTTTTGATAATTAACCTGAACTCAATGATCTTTTATTTTTAGGAATTTTCTGAAATTATTGATCATTTCATAAAGGATGATTCATGGTTACAAGATGCACAAGTCGTGGACACCTTGACAAACTCGTGCATTACAAGAATCAATATAAATTTTGATAAAAAACGCTTTGAAGGTAATAGGATTGTATTTCTCTTTTATATTATGTAATAATAATATGACGTATTTTTTAGATGTTTTATTTGATATGGAAATCCTAGCAAAGGCCAAATATGATATTTATACAGGTCCAGAAATGTTTTTAAAAAAATGTAAGCATATTTTTTAAATATCCTAGACTAATTCAATTTGTTTAGCGACGCTGAAGCTCAATTGAACAGAAGATCATTAGATGCTGAATCCGACAAACTACAAGTGTTCTATAAGGCTACACACACACACACACACATATATATATATAGACTTGGAAACTAGTCGAAGTCATATTTTCTTTTTATATTTTGCGATTTTAGCTGAAGAGATTGACAATGTTAAAGAACATATCAACGTTCACTTCGACACATATAAGATGTTTTTGAGGTACCTCGAAGATTAAACATATTTATAATTTTCTTTTAATTTCAGAACGAATAAAACAATGATGAAAAAAAGAAAACCTTAAATTAGTCTCGTTCAATGGCTTCAATTTTCTTTATCTGTGACATACGATAATATCATTCAATATATTTTGTAAACTGTTTTGTTAGTAGTCTAAAAAAATGAAAATGTAATTCTTCTTGATTGTATAACATGAATAAAATTTTCTTTGATAGAGAATTTTGAAATGTATGTATTTCTTTAATTAATAACTGCAGTAATAGACTAACAAATAGAGCTTTCAGTATTCAATAGCTTTTGGTATTTTTAGAAGGCATTAGAATCTGTTGCTAATTTAAATATCATGTAGGACATTCAGATTCAAAGAATAGCAAATCATTATATTTTGAGAAAAAAATAAATCATGGATCGGCAAAGAATAGGTTATAAAACTCAATTATATGCGAAATGAATATTAATCAGATGTACGAAGTTCTTTGTGAAATAATAGGAAATAATTCTATTAGTATTGAAAACAAATCACTTTCCAGAATTATTTTATACTTAGCTTTCAAACTAACTTTTTTTCTATTATTCGAAGATACTATTAGAATATTTGTTTTTTTGCTTGATGACTATAACAAAGTTATAAGTTTATACATTAATTGAAATACATTTTTAGTTAGGCCGATTAACAGAAGGGCATGATACAGTTCTAATCAATTATAGTACATCCGCGAAGAATTGTCCTGTGACAAATTTGCCTAACATCAGCCACTGTTTCGGCTAGAATTTTGTTTTCTGTTTTAAAGGTTTTAGATGATATTTACTAAATAAATTTCTTTTCTTTTCGTTAAATATCTTCGCATAATTTTTCGTAAAATCTGAGTACTATTCTAGCTGAATTTGACCTGGAAAATATAGATTTCAACTTTGAATTATTATGGACATTGTAACTGTTAGATATTGAGTATTAAAAGATGATCCTATATCAATCAATATTTTTTAGAGCCATGTTAAATATAAATAAACTTTGTAAATCAAGAAAAAGTTAGAATTATCTGGAGGTACCTTGAGAACGCTAAATGCTGTTTCACTTCGATGTTGTTGGTTGATTGCACAATCAATAATGCCAATCATTTTCGACCAAATCAAACGTGTCGTATTCCAACCTAGCGCAAGCAACGATGGTTCCATTTGAGAAGTGTTTGTGCTAAGACATTTTCTTGTTTCACTGATGATTGGAGAAAATCCCGTAAGCAATCGTTGTTGAGAAAAGCAAGACGCATAAATAACAAGAAGTAATCTAAAGTGTACATTGCCACAAAAACGAATGTAAGATTTCCTTCGGTCAGACAACCACGATTGTTCGGAACAGCTGAATCACAGGAGATACATTTTTTTGACTTTTCTATCTGCTGCTGAGCTTGTAATTCATAAGATGTTTCAGGATCTATTTCGAAAAAATTAAACTAGTTTTATCGGATTTCATTAAAGAATAAAATAACGTTACAAAAAAAAGAATTTGGAAACTAGTCTCCTGTGATGTGCCATGAATTTTTCCCATAGAATGTTGCTCATTATCAACCTTGTTTAATTCGTTATGCTCTAAACATCAAAAAAAAAGATTTCGAAGACCAAAAAGCGGAATGACATCAAAAGTTGTACTTATCTGACATAAACTATTTTTCGATCATTGCTTTTGCAACACATACAGCTATGAAATTATATGCATATATTAAAAATAAAGTGCAAAATGAAGAGCATCAGACATGAAGTTTTCAGCGCGACATTTACCATAATGAAAATTTGAGTCAAACGAAACGATTTTTTTCGCAAGTTTCGCTGCTTGCTTCAGTGAGTTATCAATTGTTGATTTAGAAGTGTTGAATCATCCAATTTTTTTATTGTATCATCCAATCGACGGCGAATATTATCAATCGGAGTTTTAACAGATATTTTGTCACCTTTAGAACATTTTGAATTCTTTGAATCTGATAAATAACGAAAGAAATCGTTCGAAAAATAAATGGAATACAGTATTTCATAAAAATAGCTTGATTAGGTTATTTTTTTTACTTTCTATGTTGTTAGAAGTTTGGTCAATTATTGTAATTGCATTTTGAATAATGGGATTTTCTAAAACAACAAAATCTTCATCAAAATCGAAGCTGTAAATAAGCGAAAATTATGGAGATATTTGTTGATTATTTTCAGAGTAGCTAAATTTTGATAAAATCGTGATTTTACTGACAAATCTACTTTGTAAACCCTACTTCAATAGCAGGTGAGATATAAGAAATAAATTTCTTTATGTATGCGTTTCACTCAACAGTTATCACACAAACAGTTCGCAGTTGTTAAGTGAATAAATGTTACTCAATCGCTTACTTGTCTTCATTTTTTCGCACTATTTTATGTATACAGCTTGTTGTTTTTAGATTGTTCAGCAGTATTCGTTAGCCGCTGCTCTTGTTCGTGTTCTATCCGGTAACTGACATTATCAACAAAAGACCAATCTTCCCGAGTACGATCATTGTACTCATATTGAACTAGTTAGGTACAAGAAATCCGTTGCACTCGCTTACATTATCGCTCCTGGACGAATTACGTTTTTTCTTTTGCATAGATCAAACTTCTTTTCGTTTAGTGTTACTATAACGTCATATAAAGCCCAAAAATAGTTAGCAATTCATTTTTTCGTAATTGTGCAAATTCAATAGCATTTAACTTGCATATTACGTCTATTACCAAGAATGGTTCTCGTAATAAATTTGAAACTTGTCATTTGATACTTTTTTAGCTTTTTCTTTAGTTTCTATGGCACCTGTTAGAATATTCGCTGGCAATGGTTCTTGTTCATCCAATTCAATATAAGACTAGAACAAGATTAAATGAAATTCTTCTTCACTAAATCTTTGGATATCATTAACACAGCGCGTGGATACAGTCACTGGTTGCTAGCTTTGCAAAGTTATATTCATTTAGATAAAGTTTTCAGACATTAATGAAATAGATTAGTTCATACTAGTAAAATAAAATATCTTGATATGATGAAGGAAAATAATAAATGTTAGAACCAATATACTTTCCTTAACTTTAAGAGACAATCTTTTCAATGTCAAAAAATGAATGAAAGTAAACTTCGCCAGACATGTTGTATAGACTCTAATGCGTAAGAAAATTATTCAAGAGGTTTTCTATTTCCCTATCCGGTAATAATGATTCCTCAACTAAGTGATGAACATTTGGATTAGTTCCAGTCGAAATGTATCGTATTCTGCTTTGAATTTTGAGTTCTTAAGCTCACCTACTATTTTATTGACTACGACTAACACGATAGACGTATATTGTCTTCGATCAACTCTTATATCGACTTGATTCTTATGAGAGAGATGTTGAAGGTTATAATTTAACAATTTTGTTGAATTTCAACATTCGCGCTTTTTTCATTTGGAAAAATACATGTCGAGAAGTTGAGTTGTCGAAATTTATTATCCAACAAATATATGTTATATTGTAATTACACTTAGTCGCAGATTCTAAAGATACCTGATGAAGACTCCTTAAGCAAGAGTCGAAACGCGTCGTATTCTGCTTTGAATTTAATTTTAATTTTGAATTCTTAAACTCACCCTGACACCTTCACCGTTGCTTCGAAACACTTTAGTGACGACAAAAGTGCATGCATAATTTTAATCAACACAAGGATTGGTACACAATGGGTAACTACTCAAGGTAAAGAGATGATGCAGAAGATTTGTTACTTTTGAGTTGAGAACGACCAGCTGCCGAAAAGCGCAAGATTGCTTATTATTGGATCTACGAACATCATCAGTTCTGGATAAAATTATGGAAAATAAAGCAATATGAGTAAACGTCAAATTCAACACACCTCTTATAGACTAAAGAGCAAATTCTATACAGATCAGTCTACATCGTCATCTTGAATCGATCTGCCTTATCTGTCATGTAACATGCAGGACGAATTACAGAACAAAATGACGTGAGAAGGAACACACAGTATCTACATCATGTAAGTGTCTGCTGTCTAAATGAAACTTACTACTGACTTTTTATTCAGAGAGAGAAAATAGTAAGAATATAATCGATTGTTATCAGGGATAAAAAAAATGGCAAGGCAAAAACAAAGATAAGCGTCAAAACTAGGGATGTGCAGTGTCGGTGCACTACTGAGCACACTGTCGGTTTAGTCGGTGAGCAGTTTTTCAGCATTTACGCCGACACTGCACATCCTTAGTCAAACTTTGAAACCCACCATTTTATTAAAAGTGTATATCATAACTCATAATTGTGTCACAAATATAACGTGTGTTTTTTTAATGTGAAGTTCAAATCTCCATTTAAAAGGTTCAGGCAATTCGCTCATCAAAATGTTTTTCTACAATCCTCGTACACACATGTCACAGGCTTGCCTTCTTCATGATCAGCATTTTTCCAGATGTTGGCACGCGAACAATGTGGGCATGTCATACGCTGAAATTTGCGTTTACAATTTTCATTTGCACATGTCACAATTGATCCTTCTTTGTAATCGGCATTCTTCCAGGCATTCGAATGTGAACAATGTGGGCACTTCACACGCTGGAACTTTCGTTTACAATTTTCGTTGCCGCATGTCACGACTGCTCCGTCTTTGCAGGTAGCATTTCTCCAGAGGTTCATATCGGAACAATGGGGGCATGTCATACGCTGAAATGTTTTTTTGCAAGTGTCACGTGCACATGTTACAATGTCGCCTTGTGTGTACGTTGCATTTCTCCATGTAATGGAACAGGAACAATGGGGACAAGCAACCTGCTGAAATTTTTTTTTGCAGTTTTCAAATGTACATGTTACAATGTCGCCTTGTGCGTATGTTGGATTTTTCCATCTATTAGAACCCGAGCAATGAGGACAAGCAACCTGCTGAAATTTTTTTTTACACTTTTCAGTTGCACATGTCACGGCTGATCCTTCTTTGTAATTGGCATCTCTCCATATGTTGGCACCGGAGCAATGAGGACAAGACACATGCTGAAACTTTCGTTTACAATCTTCGTATGCACATGTCATAACTTTGCCTTCTATATACGTTGCATCTTTCCATACATTTAATTTCGAACAATGAGGGCACTTGATCGAAGCGTTAGTTTTATTGTTAACGACAGCTGCTATTAGAAATACAGTAGTTTAGTTTTTGACATACTGTGAATAAAATGCATGGTATCATGCAGCGTTCAGTACTCAGGGTGACTTTGATCGATCAATATTTTTGGTTTCGTTTCGCTGGTGTTTGAAACTAATCTATGATTCTTTCTATCGAAATGAAAGAAACAAGATCTCGAGTATCTTAATTTCAAAAATGTGAGTAAAATCAATGTCAAGTCCTCGATGGTGATGCTTTCAGAGTTGTGAGGTCTGGCACAATTCAATATACTTCAGTAGAAAAGAAAAATGCATGTGTTTTAATATTATTTTAATTGTGTGAATTGCATATTAGAAGCTAACTTGCAGAGAAAACCATATACATTCTGAAGATATTTGCTAGAAAGTATATTTCTCAGTATTTGAATTGAATAGCTAATCAAGTATTCATGATCAGGGGTGGACATTTAATTTAATTCAACATTAAATCTATGCTTGTCACTTATCACTAAATATTAGTGTTAAGTTTTACTGCTTATTATTTCATTTTGAAATTAGGTGGTTCATTTGTTTTTTATATTAAAATTAAGTGAGTCATGTAACACTCAATACTAAGATCAAGTTTTTCAATTTAACACTGAATCACTTAATATTACATGATTTATTGATTAACTTGAAGAAAAATACTATTTTATTTGGGCTACTTTGAACAGACAGAAGGAAGCTTATAAAATATTAAGAGTAGTTCCCAGAATTTTTTAAGTGTTGTTCGGGAACGATGAATCAGAAGTCTTGATTATGCTGCTGAATCAAAACAACCTTAAGCTTTTTAAATTGTTTGTGAGTACTTTGAAGAAAATATGTCAAGGACCATACTATGTTGTTGCTTAATGTCATACGTTGAAAAGCTTTTTGACTGCTATCAATGTTCACTGCGCTTATTCAACATTTGATATTAAACATGATGTCTAATTGATGAACCTTAGTAACGTGTAGTTCGATTTCGAGAATATTCTTGTTGAGTGTGAAATTAATTGTTTTTTTTCAGGACATCGATAATCCTATAATATCGCCTTAAAGTCTGATGGAGTTGACAAGCTATTATCATCACCATGCTTGTACCTAACATATGACTTAGATATGTTGGATCGCAGATGATTCCACTTTCAGAAAAAGTGATTGCAAACTTTCTTTTGCATTTATTATTGATACTGTAGGGGAGAAACCTTCCACGCTTGTGTGAAATTTTAATCTACACAACGCAACGATTTTACCACAGATTGAGAGTTTTGAGGCACGATTAAAAAGTGAAGAGCTTTTAATTGAGCCGGATTATTATTCATTAGATAGATTGTACTTCAAATCAATTTATGACAACTAGTATAAGGCTCAATTGAAGAGTTCAAAACATTACTCAAGTAAGCTGAACTATTTGATTTAACAGGACTTCATTAAGAACCTTAATTAAGTGAGAAGAAGAAAAGCTTGATATCTGCTATTAAGTATTAAGTGAAATTACTTCGTTAATGTATTTAATTAAGTCCCGTTAAATAAAATGGTCCGTCCCTAGATGTGGGTGTTGTTTTACATGTCGATAATAATGGAGCCTCACACATGATGAATGAAATCGGTAACGGGTCAGTGAATCTATCGAGATTTTTGCTTCCGATGACATCACAGTTGCATCAATCGAATTATTGCGAAGGATATTCAATTTTTTTTCGAACTAGGGAATCATTCTGGACGCATTTGAGTCATTTATTCGCAGTCAGATGTCTTGAATGCTTTGAGATCGGTCTTCTCTGAACTTAGGAGCGGGTTTTTGTTACATCTGCAGAATTCTCACAAACGCTGACAAGAACAAAGTTGAATTTTGCCGTCGAACTTTTCTGGGCTTATGAAGAAGATCTTGAGGAAACTGATGATTTTTCATAAACGTTGAGAAAAGGTAACTGGGTCGGGGAATCGTATGATGAGACGAGATTCATGAAATTCTGTTATCTGCTCCTTGTGGCCTTGGAAAGTAATTTTTCGGGAGGCAATCATTTTCGAGAATGTTTCACGAATGGAAAGCGAAAGCCGAGACATCGATTGATGAAACGGGAATTCTGAAAAGTTTCAGGTTGCTCATTCATGGACTGAGAAGAGATTTTTTGTAAACCACTTGTTGGGTTCCGACAAAGTGTCTTCGTAATAATATTGGTAGCAAATCTATGAGCGGATATGTTTGAAAATGTCAGCTAGGACTTTTATGGAGTGCGATGATGATTGACTATACTCATCGATGGATAAATCGCTGTAAAATACAATGGGATTATATTGTGCTACTCATGTGCATTAAAACGTTCTCGAAGGACTGTCGTAGTTTATCATAATAGAGTGGATCCACATCGTAACACTACCCACTGAGTCACCACCGCCAACAAAAAAAGTCAATTTCCAAAAAGTTTGAACAAATTTCGTACAACGTATCGCTCCAACTTCTACTGGATCCATATATACGTCTAGATATCAATTACTTAGCGGCATCTACTTTATTTCGAAGAAAACCTATGATCAAATCACATCATACCCGGTTTGCTGCATGCACCGACGTCACTACTTGCCGTTGTTGGTCTTGTAGAACCTGCTATCGAAAAAAAAGTATTGTATTATATATACGATTTCGCTTTTAGTTCTTTGCACCCTCAAGAAAAATATTAGTCACATATAGACATTGAAACATGTAGAGCTACTGAGTGAATAAATTTCGGGTAAAAATAGCTTTATTATTAATTCAGATTATAGTTTGCAAATCATGTTGAAAGAATAAGCAACGACATTCGTCAAAACTAGGCAATGTAGTGGTTTCAATAATCTTGATTGATATGGGATATATCGACGCAACATTTTCTTAGTTTTAGTTGAAGAGAAAAAGATATACGAAAATTAGATATTCTCAGATACAAGACATAAGCGAGAGAATCTGCTGGAAAATAAAAACAGAAAACAACAGTTGGATTGTAACTGTTTGTAATGTTTCAGATGTGGATCATCGCTCACGAATAATGGGATAGTGTTCAAGTTAGCTAGGGTGTGGGTGTCGGTGTGGATCTTCATCTCATTCGTATCCACACCCACACTCAGAAAATCACTTTTCTTCTAGATCGTTTTTCTTCATTTCATATCTTTGTTATTGATTTCAATCTAGCTAAACAACATATATGAATCTATTGATGATAAATAATGTCTGACGTTCATGAAAAGAAAGATGGATCACAGTTCGTTTTTGTTTATTGTGTTTTTCAATATTTTTCATCAATATTGTTCGCTAACTAGAATTCAACTATCTTATAGAAGAAACGTTTTTTTGATCTTAATCTCATCTTTTCGTCTGCATTGTTTGCTGACAATCCTTGTAACTTTCCTATCGTGAATGCCATCGAAAACGAGAAAACAATATTTTGACAGGAAAGTTAACAACTACAAAACGGAGACATTTCAAATGTTTCTCTTCGCCAGAAAAACTCAGCAAAAATTGAACGTTCTAACAAATACGATGAGAGTCGCATTGGGATATTGAAGAAAACAAACGTATATCAGTCAAATCACCGATAAAGGACTTGTAGAATAACGAGTCAATGCTTCATACAAACGCTTCCAAGCTCTCATTACGCCTTTTACTGAAAACCTCCTTAAAGTATATCTCAGTGCAAAGTATGCTTACATGTAGTGGATGAGGCTGCTGTGCCAGGACGCGTTGTCGAAGCTAAAACAAAAGGCATTATAATATATATTAGATGCGATATACTTTTCAGAGTGACTCTGATTTCGAAGTATGCAAGTGTACATGTTGAATGAAGTATACTTACGGGGAGCAAGAGGAGGGCGCGTCCCAGGTGATGATGGCGATTGAACTAAAACAAAACGCCTATTTTATTTATATGAAAGGATAGAGCATTCTATAGCAATTATTTCAAAACTTCTATCAGTTCTGATGGGTGTGGGTGTGGACCTTCATATCATTCGTATCCACACCCACACCCTTCTGCAGTCGGCTTTAATGAAATCGAAAGCGCGAGCCTTGACAGTAGCGATAGAAATACTGCTCATATCATTAGGCCAAGATAAAGAGGATGAACGACTCTAGAAACAGCAGCATTTTCTCAAAGTTTCAAAAAATTAATCATTCATAAAGAAGTTTAATTATGTATTGCCTTTTCTGGTAGTTTTACAAATTTCAAATTTTAGCCTTCTAATATATCACTATTCAGTTTATAGTGTGTAAAATGATAGAGAATGTCACGCTCTATTACGCTATGGATTTGATTTTGAAGTAATTTGTGTTCTATTCAAATACGGATGAGAAATTGGAAAAAACGAAGACACAATTCTATATAGAACAATTTGACGAGAAAAATATTTTCATTGTGTAAGAATTATTTTTAACAGAAGGATATAGTGCAAGATGTTCGTATATGAATTTGTAGAGCATTTTAAGTACTATCAAACTATGAAGTTAGTTTCCCGAAAACGCTAGTTGCCAGTGATAAAATAATAAAAATATCGGATAGTTCAATTATTTTACAGGCGAAAATTTTTGATGAAAATTTACTGAAAAGTACTGCAATAAAAAAACGTCTGATTTTGATCCAGTACTCATACTTTCAAGTGGTATATCTCGAGAACGGCTCATCCTGTTGAACTGAAATTTTAGGCTTATTCCTAACTCGAATGTAGATATTTGCTGAGAAAATATCCGCCAAATTGGTGAGATCGATTGTTCAATGGTGGTCGTGGCTTACGTGCAATGCCTCATAATAGACACTTCACATCCTACGAGTTTTCATTTCTGTAAGGCGGTCGTGAGGATCTCGTGATAGAAGATGATTCAGTTACAAACCTCCATTGAAACAAAATGGTTCCCGCAAGCATGAATTGAGCCAAGGTCTTTGTCGTTTCGATGACCTTTCTAATATTTCGTTTTGTACGTTGCGCATAACTTCTTCAAGTGTTAAATTAGGCGTTACCAAATGATTCAGCAACGCTGATGTGAAGAAACTGTTTTCACCTGCTTTACAACCAAACGAGACTGTGCCAGGATCAGACGAAAATATTAAAGCGAATTGGGATTCAGTAGGCAGGCGAACAAAAGATGTTAACGCTTTCCCATATGCTGGTTCGGAACATTCTTCTGCATTGGCACCCTTCGTTTTCCAAGTATTATTGTCTTTATCGGCGCGACACGCATCCAAAATAACAACATTTAAAATATTATCACCGCATCGATTTAACTGTCTTAACATTGTATCCAGACATACACAGTCGAATTCTGGATCATGAACTTTTTCAATAGGCACTAAATAATTTTTACCCTAAAAAGAAGGAATTTTTCTGTCATATTTGTAAAGTTTCGAGTCGGCAGTAATAGCATAATATTCATAGGTCTCTTTCAAAATGCTCGTTGTTGCAGATATATTGATTTTCAACAAGTGCTTCCCTTTATTTATTCCTATAATTTTCTAATTGCCGACGTATTTTGTATAGATGAAGATTATATTCAAATTCTGGATGCCAAACGTCAATCTCTTCTACGATTAGTTAAGAAAAATCAACAAGAGCAAAATATCACAATATTCGATGAGTGTTATGAAATCGAATACATCATACGTTATAATCAACATCTGTACAGCACGGCGATTTTTTCCCTAATTTTTGACAACTGTTAAATACTACGGTCAAATCTTGACTTTCACGGACAAAAGAATTTTGAAACAATTAGAATCTTTTGAAAATATTAACATACTTTGATATTTACGACTAGTCTGTAAGTCGCTATAATAAAATTGTGTTGTCTTCATTTTCGGAGACTAGAACTTTTGGTAATTTCTAGCGTCAAAAGACTTTCAAGAAACTCAGTCAGAATTTTTGTACCTCCTATTCTCCCAATACATTATTCACACTTCTTACACTTTGTTCCATGCCATGCCCAGAGAAATAGATCAATATGCAATCGTTATTCTTAATTTTGGAACAAAAATCTCTAAAAGCACAATCCATTCCCCGTTTATCTGAATTATGGGACTGTGTACAAGTGAATCCTAGAATATCATAGAAAGAGTTTTAAAATAATGTTCTCTCATCTATAATATTAGTAGCAAATACAAACCTACACTATTTAATTTGGATGCCATGTCCCTTGCATCCTTAACACAACTATTTAATTGTTTGTCGCCTCCGTAGTTATCGTTACCAAAAAGTAAAGCCAATCGCCGTCGAGACATTTCGAGTCTTTCACTAAATCTAAAATATTGGAAAACAAATTGTACTCGCATCTATTCATCATGCTTGCTGTGCAACAAAATTAATAAGTAACTAAGACTGTAAATATCGTTCACTGTAAAAAATTGCCGGATGTTAATACACGAAAACACCATTTTTGACACTTCAATAAACAGGAAAACGATTTTTGAATTTGCAACGTATAATAAATCCTTTTAAGGATTATTATGAAGACAATAAACGATTTTTTTATTTATGATATATAAAAAGGGCACGTTAAATATTTGAAAAACAGAACAAAGTGTTAATTGTACGTTGCAAAATCATAAACTCTTGTTTTTTTCACAGTGTTCTGTTAACGGATGAGAAAAAGTAAACTGAAACTCGAACCATTGATAGACTTGAATCGCGGCATCATCTTACCAATCATTTCAAAGAACATACACTGAATCTGTAACCAAATTCGCATAACTTAGACTCCAGCCAAAAATGCGAATTTTCTCAATGCTATAAAACATCAATAAGAACAGGGTTCATCCGAATTATCTTAGAAAATGCGAAACTTGTCAAACCGACTAATACTAATACACTTTGTAGTTGCTCAGTAGCTGGGATAGAACTCGTTTCTTAGTATATGAAAAATGGAACAAAAGGTTGATACATTATCCATAATTTGTGCGTAACTTCCTTTAATCATGTTCTACGTACATCATTCTTACTATATCAGTGGTTTTACACAGATGTTTACTAGAACATAGTCTATTATAAGAAGCAGATGAATTCTATCATATCTTGTTGCAATAATGTGTTGTTACAATGATCAACGAATAGCTGCGGTGTTGTTGTTAGGGTCAAGAAATAGCTAGAAATTATTTCTAACATCAGAATTATGTAGTGTTGCTACAAAGACCAAAAAATTGCCGATATGTTGTTATTAGGGTCGCCTATTTTTTAAACAACGTCAGATGTCTCCTCTTCAGGTTTCGTATTTTTGTATCTCATTGAAAGAAATATTTCTTTTCATGAACCTTTAGATTTGGGTAGAGTTTAACGTGCTCTACAAAATTGTCACAGGCACCTTTCCATGTTTTTCGACAGGAACACATGATAAAAGTCTTTTTTTTCTTAAAACAGTGTGCTCTCTGTTGAATTTCGTTTGACTGTTGTTCTTAGGAACGAAATATAGTTGGGTGTTGTACTCAGGGAAAGTGCCCCTGATAATAGCAAAAGCAGGTCGTAATTGTGGAACGCTGATTTCTCCTCCATCAGATTTCGGCGGAAGCCCATGGATATGTCACTTGGAAGAGGGGTGCCTGCAGATTACGCAAATGCAAAAATATTTCACCTCAAGCGTCCAATAGGTTAGAAGCGAGTGCAAGAATGAAAAACGATTTTAGTGTTGTAATTAGGGATAATCACTGTATCTAGGGCTGATTCTTAAGGATCTTAGGGGAAGATTGGATACAGTTCTAAGTACCCTAAACTTATCTAAGAGGGGTACCTAAGCATGTCAAAGGTGTATGCGACCTTCTCGTTAGTGGCATTTTTTGTATTTTGAATATAGAAACTTTAGAACACAACTTGAAACGTTATATACAATGAACATACAAAAATAGAAAATTTACGTTGTTAAAATTTTCCAGTGATAAATAGGGAACAATAAATGAAAAGTGAATTTACTTTTGCCGTTGGTTTAGAAACCAAGGCTAAAACACAATATGCGGTATATTTTCGAGATAGAAGCATAATAAAGATAAGTCAGTGCTTTCGATGGTATCACCGGCATGAAACCTATGAAGCAATAACTAAACTTTTGAGTAGTAATGCGTTAGACGGAGAAAAAAGTATTTGAACTCCTTAATCCTGCTTTCATATCAACTGGTTCGAAATTTTTGACCTAATGTGGAATGAATAAAAGGAACATCGTTAGAAACAGTAAAAAACTGAGTAAATCGCAACGATTGTCTCGAAGAGGTACTTCCAAGTCTCCAGCAATATTTTTCGAAACACTCTTCCCAGCTTGAATAGCTAGGATGTTTCGGGATTCCAATTATTTAATGAATCGTCTTCTTTCTAAGGAACAAAAAGACGAAACACCTGAACTATCAGAGCTGCGAAGAATATTTTGAAAAAATATTGCTGCATACTTGGGAATACCTCTTCGAGCAAATTAATAGAATTTACTCAGCATTCTTGCTCTTTCTAATCATTTGATTTTTATCCACTTTGCACGCGATAAAAAAATCTCGACTAAATTTCATGCTTTACTGCCTACTTTTACAACGCAAACGCCGAGTTCGAATGATTGCACGCTTTTAAAAATTCGTTTCATCAAAAAAATCTGTCATGAAGGGATCTTGCTTCTTAGTTCGATGTGCAAATTATTGCTGAATGTTGTCTGCTTCTCTTCTGACACGAAACGCTCTCTAATATAAATATAAACACTCAAAGTACAAAAAAATAAAAATCTGGAGAGAAGTTTATCGAATGCAACTAAAATACACAAGAGTAATAAGTTTGTGATTTATTTGCAAAGAACACTTATAATCACGTAGAAACACTTGATTATTCATTCTTGTTTTTTTTACTGTTCTGCGTATGAATGTAGCTGAGTCTTTCGTGGCACTCTCGTTGAAATATGCTGAAGGGTGCGGGTGTGGGTGCGGGTGTGGGTGTGGGTATTGGTAGGTGTAGGGGGAGCGCGCCCACAGACGTACATCGAAACACACCCACCAACAAACGTTTACGGGGGCAGGTGAAATTGGTCATGCGGATTACGTATATGCTATTTTTTCTTCTGGAAACTGTTCCCTGAAAGCTCCTCCGACGATGATATGCAAGGGGGAAATAGCAGACTTTTGAACTTCAAATTACTTCAAGTTACTTTGAGCTACTTGAATGATACTTTGAGCTACTTGCCTGATACTTTAAGCTACTTTAAGCTACTTGAAGGTACTTTGAGCTACTTGACGCAACGCCATGCTGCTTGAAGTTTCTAGGTTATAGCTTGATCTTCTCAGCTAGGGATGCAATGGCGGTGATAGCCATAAGTACGGTTACACCGTCCCTAATAGATTCAAATCGAGTTGAGCGTTGCGCAGTGCTGAGAAAATTTCCTGTTTTGACGTTGACTGTAAAGAAAGTGGTTACGGAGAAAATATCGATACGTTATAACGGTTGACGAAGAAAAGTCGGGGCTGGGCAGGTCGAATCTGAGGTCCATTGGCCTTGAAAATCCATTGTTGGTCGAAAACCAATAGGAATTGAGTTTTGAGAAAGATGGATTTCTACGCATAATTTGAGACCGTGAGTTCGAACCTGAGCTCCATTTGCCCCTAAATCCTATTAGTTGATCAGGAACCAATAGTAATCGAGCTTTGAGAAAAATGGATTTCTAGTGGTAATTCGAGGCCGTGAATTCAAATCAGAGACGAGCACAGGATAAGGTTTTCTGCCCTGTTCTGTCCTGCTAGCTTCTCGGTCCTGGCGGACGGCAGAACAAATTAGAAAACTTTTTCATAACTTTTTCAATGTAATTTTCAACAAAAGACTGTCAGGGCTAGAGATGTGCGGGACCAGGTTTTTTTTTGTTTCAATCTCGACCTAGCCCCGGTAGGTCATTTTTTATCAGTCCCGGTCATAGTACGGATGAATATACTATTTTCTTGACTCTGGTCCAGATCCGGCAGCTTTTTTCCAACGGTCTCGTTGGCTGTTTCTAACTATAAAGTTTTGATGGTTGATGAATTCAGCTTAATATTATCTGAGTATAAGCGACATCAAACAACTATTGGAGCAACTGTTATTTCAAAAATTTCTTATAATAGTATCATTGAAAAGGACGATTAATATCACTTTGCTCGTAGTTGCTTTGTTTTAAATTCTTAATAAATTGAATTTATGATGTACGGAAAATTTAATTTTAGAAATGGGTAAGTTAAGAATATCACACAGATTTCAAGTTCAGTCACGGGTCCGCTCATGGACCCGGTTAAATTTTGATTTTCAGTCCCGGTTCTTCGAAAATTTTAGATTTTTCGGTCCCGGTCCCGGCCACAGTCCCGGTAAAGCTCTATTTTTTGGCTCTGGCTCCGCCTACGGGTACCGAGACTGGGTTCGGGACGGTGACCGTGACCATGACCGGAGCTGGTCCCGCACATCTGTAGTCAGGATCGAACACATGATAAGATTTTCTATCCTGCCCTGTCTCGTCCAGCTAACTCTTTTGTCCTGGCGGGAGACAGGGCAGGACGAAAATCGAAACTTCTTCCTATCCTGTTTTGTCCTGCTAACTTTTCTGTCTTGATGGGTGGCAGGACTGGACAAAAATGGAAATCTCACACTGTCCTACAGGGCAGGGCGCCAGGACCACCCTGTCCTATGCCCATCTCTGGTTCGAATCTAAGCTCTGTTTTTCTCGCAATGCTATTGGTCGACCAGAAGCCAGTAGAAATTTCGATTTTCAAAAATATGGGGATCATGTTCCAACTCCACGACTCGAGATACCCCTAGAAAACCGTTCTCCTGACAACCCGATTCATATTGGCTACTGACTCACCGATAGGATTTCGTGCTGAATATAACTCAAATGCGAAGTCTCCGTCTGAAATTAGACCTTGAAAAACGTTTTCGTTAAAAACTTGATTCCTATTGGTTCCAGATCCATCAACACTACGTTGAGCTAATGACGTTCAGATTCGAACTCCACAACTCGAAATACCAATGGCGAGCCACTTTTCGAAAATTTCGATTTCTACTGGTTCCTGATCAACCAATAGGATTTCGAGACAAATGGAGCTCATATCTCGAAGCCCACCTCGAATTACTCATAGAAATCCATTGTTATGAAAATCCGATTCATTTTGGTTCCCGGTCGGCAATAGGTTTACGAGGCCAATAGCGCTCAGTATCGGCCTAGTCGGCCCCGACTCCGTTTTGTCAATCTTTAAGAAAACCATTCCTTTACAGCCAACATCAAATTAAGAATTTTTTATGCACTGCG